ATATATACTATTTGGCTGTGTCTGGGAATAATATTCCAGATTTGCTTCAAAGTGCCAATGCAATCTAATGATTGTCCTTTTTCTCTCTGTAGATAGTAATAGATCTCTGAGATACTACCTGGAGTGAAGAGAGAGAGAGAGAGAGATACCATCCATGATTTTGCAAAAGAAGACTTGGCATTCATTACAAATGGACTTTCTGTTTTAATCTTCAGGATAAGGATTTCAATCTTATGATCAATGGATCCGGACACATCTTAGGGATGAAACTCTGCGAGTTGCCATCAATAAAGGCAACATAGCTTTAATAGTTATTGAAACATCATTTTCCTAAGGGAAGGGGCAATTTTAAATTATTAAAGGGTCAATTTCAGGAAACTAAACTGTCCCTGTAGGTGGATTCCTTATGTAGAAAACAGCCTTGTTTTCCATGTAGACTAGTTCACAGGGTTTAATGATGAATGCTGTAACACATGTTTGCTCCTGGAGTAGAGAAACCACTGCTTTTCAGTGTGCACAACAACATAATCCAAATCTGTTGAATCAGGTTTTGACAAAAAGCCACAATTGTGCTTAACATTCTTTATTAAGAAAACACTGGATGATATATACACATAAACTTCATATGTTTAAAATGACCCATTCAGATAACAGGATATTATATATATATGTCATATTGATCCGTGAAGATCTGGTTTAAGATTGGTGTTCAGTAACCATGTCATAAGAGGCGACTAACTGGATCGGCAGGCTCGCTGACTTGGTTGACACATAATATACCCAATTGTATAGATCAATGCTCATGCTGTTAATCACTGGATTGTCTGGTCCAGACCAAATTATTTACAGACTGCCTCCATATAGCAGGAATATTGCTGAGTGTTAAACCAACAAACCAATATACCTCATAAGCAATGTGTTGTTAGAGCAAGTTAACAGTGGTCTTACACAAAAGTGGAGAATATAATTATAAAAGTATCACATTTCACATGTATAAGACAAATGTCATGAACTATCATACAACATACTGAACTGTGCGTTTGCTTTTAAACATATTTCATCTTTATGACAGTGACCTTTAAATAAACGAATGATTGAGAATCCAGTGACTGTCATGGTCAGGTGGAAAGTGAGTGAGTGAGTATGGCTTAATGCCGCTTTTAGCAATATTCCAGCAATATCACGGCAGGGGACACCAGAAATAGGCTTCACACATTGTACCCATGTGGGGAATCGAACCCAGGTCTTCAGTGTGACAAGCGAATGCTCTAACCACTAGGCTACCCCACCGCCCCATGTCAGGTAGAAAGACACCCTGTTAACCAAGCGATGAGCCTGACCACCTCATCCATTAAGCTACATCTTACAACCAGCATTGGTTGATGGGGACCAATTCAAACCAAGAATGATGTATTACAAAACAAGAAATATTGATGAGACTTCTGTCAAACTGCTGAGTTTGATCATATCTGATTCATCGTACATAGTACATCAAAAATATATCCAACACTTGTAAATTTAATAAATTTGTTAGACCTTCGCTATAATTTATCGACTATTTACAACACATACTAGACCATGACCTTACTGCAGGCATAGGCCAAACAACTTCTCACTCACTCACTCAAACTATACACTACTGAAACATGCCATTTTCTTTCACTTCTTTTGAGCAGTATATATACATAACATACAATAATGTGTTCAGCCCCCAACTGAACATATCATGAAGGAATGGAAGTTTGAACTTGGCATATGTTTAATGTTTGCAGTCTCTGAGGTCTGCATTTCAAAATAATCCACAATTTTGTATAAACCCAAATTGTGGATCAGATTTTAATGAGATTATTCCAGAAGCCACTTGCCACATCGATATCATTATGAGAATTGTGATGAAACAGCATCAGTTCATAACACTTGAGAAACATTCAGTGTCTTAAATTCATAAGCATTATAATCAATTTAATTCAGCAAAAACCTGAAAATTAGACCTGAGCTCTGGCAAGAAAATGGCTCAAACAGTGATACGGTGTACATTTGTGTACATTAAATGGATCTTTAATTGTTTATATTATTTCATTTTCACTCAATTTTACATGTTCACCACAAAAATATTGTATATGATTTGCAAATACAAAGGATGACACCAACACTAATAAATTATCAAAAAAAACATGCATAATGAGATTGTCAGAGTTCAAGTTTATTTATACTTATCAGTGTTTTTAAACAAGTTAAAGTATGTGCTGACCAAGTTTTTTTAAATCCTGGTTTCGGTTATTTTTTCTCTGAATATTTTCTAAATTGTTTAGCTCTCGTAATTGTTTATCATTTCACAAAATACTTCTATTGTATTAGCTAGGTTTGTTGTAAAAATTTCAAATCTTTAATATGTTTGCATCTATGTAACTATGGGAATGAATAAAAAAAAAAAAAAAAAAAATTTTGTTGTGATTATCAGCTTGTTTTCATCTTCAGATATTTGTGATTTATTATATTGGCTTCAGTCATCTTTGTTGGTTGAAACATGGGAAAAAAGGAGTTTAAAACAAAGACAAAGTTATATTTCTGAAAACAAAACGTGAGAAAACATATTCACTTCATAAATAATATCAAATTGTGCATATTCTGAACAAAACAAATAATAGTTAAACTTAAAATGAGATTATCACTCTAATGCGTGGAGTACTATAATTTGTGACAGGTTTAATGAGAATTTACTGACCTTACCCAAAGGTCAAGGTCAACCTATCACTGACACAGATGGATACCTATATACATCATAACATGGTAATGTGCCGTCACAGTATTTAAAACAAGACGAATACTCTTGACATGTTTTGTGTCTCACTGATGATCAATTAAATGAGAAGAAACAAACATCCTATGACTTACTACCGAATTCTTTTGGTTTTTTGTTATAGACTCAACCAAGAAAATCCAGTGCATCATATCTCCATTCAAAAAATATATAATATATAATGTAACATATATTTCTGACCTGGGCATAAAATCACATTCAAAATCTCTGCCTCATCCAAGCAAGACATCAATGATTCTGACAAATTTCAAGAATGTTACAAATTATTTTTTGTTGCTGAAAAATATACTGAGGGAAACAAATAAGTGAACACCACTTCATCGCAGTGTTCCTCTATTTATTCTCAGATTCTCACCCACAGTGCGATACAAAGTTTTTGAAGAATCCTGAAAAGAATAAAGGAACACTTGTACTTTCATGTGTTCCCTTATTTGTTTCCTTCAGTATATGTTTTCCTATGCACAGTCAAATGCTAAAGCTACAGATGATCATGTTGTATTTGTGATGGCTCACAACGGTCCTGGTATACTGGCGTTATTGCTCTGTGTGTTAACCCATAGGAGAAGTGTGGAATTTGACTGGACATCAAACAATAGTGGGATGCTTCCCAATAAAACCAGTTAATGTTCATAAATCCCTTAATACTGATAATATTCAAATTGAGATTTAAAATGTCGGCTCTTCTTTGATTATTTTTGTTTGTGTGGAATTTAAACTTGAAAAATACAGAAATATATACAACATGTACAACTAAATTATACACACAAATTAAACATACTACACAAAATTAGTTAAAGAATACATGATTCTTTCAAACTGCTATAGTTAATCTGCCATTCCAGTGAATTACAGTAATACAAAAATATTGTATGTTCTTTAACTTTTGGGTGTAGTACAACCAATATCATTAATTATTATATACAAAAACAAATTCCCACATCTAAAAAATACAGAAATCCAGATTAAAATACAATTATGTGCAGTAAAACCTATATGATTAATCCATTGTTAGGGGTGTCACGATACACCAATCTCACGATACGATACGTATCACGATTTTAAGGTCACGATACGATACGTATCGCGATACATAATTTTCGCGCCTTTTCATAGCATTACCTTACCGGCAACGTACGCGCTCGCTGATTGGCCCATCAAAATAGTCTAGCCAATCACAAAAGCTGTTAGTTTCCAACCTATTTTTTAAGTAAAGCTAGCTACATCTATTTATCGGAGCGGTCTCGTATAATTTTACTATCAAGACTTTGAAGGAGATGGATATAGCATAAAAATTTGAATCGATAAAGTTTTAAAATAGGAATCGATACACGTAAGCATGTATCGCGTATCGTATCGTCAGTAAAAATGTATCGATGCATCGATACATTCGCGTATCGCGACACCCCTATCAATTGTATGCAAATAAGAAATTCACACTACAAACAAATATGGAAATCCAGATTAATATACATTAAACTTTCCGAATATATCAATATTGGCACACTATATGAATACAGTTTAGGAGTATGAGTGAGTGTTTGCCCTTACAAAGGGAAATAACTGTGTAACAAAAGATATACCAGTAAATGCATTGTCGTCTGACTGAGTTGAGTTTTACACCACTTTTAGCAATATTCCAGCAATATCACGACAGGGGACACCAGAAATGGGTTTCACTTGTGCCCATGTAGGGAATCAAACCTGGGCCTTCTGTGTGATGAGCGAACACTTTAACCACTAGGCTACCCCACCGTCTATTGTCAGCTGAAGCCACTGTCCACATAACTATTGATAAGTGCTGAAGAAGTTCAGTAATAAAACTATATGTAAAAATCATCGTTTAACTGAGTGTTGACTGCAATAATGCTAAAATATTACAAAATCACAGCATACCTTTTGTTACAATGAGATGTTTCTTCATCAAAATAAATGAGATTGTCGAAACCAAACTTTGAGCTTGTTGAGGATATGTAACATCGATAAATATTCACAGAATTTGCCATCTTGTTGTGTCACTCACATATACAACTACTCACAAGAAAATAGAAAATTGCAACTATAAAATATATATATTTATAATCCATATCCTATCTTTCTTTTGTTCTTTCAACTGTGGAGTGGAACAATCTGGAACAAATCTAAGAAAGAGTAATCCCAAATATAACATATGTTAAATCTGGAACATTGTTGAAAGAAAAATAGAAAGTGTGCTCTACGTGAGATAAGAGAAGTTTAAAATTATGGCTATGACCGATTAACTGCAGTCACATTTACAATCAGTTGTTTTTTAACTTCTTTTAACAAGTATATATTCTAGTTTGACAACAGATTGTAAATATTCAAGTCAACATAAATGAACAAATACATTATATATTGGTTTTTGTAATACAGCTGTATGTTTTATGTGGAGAAGTTGGCTATAAATCTGAAATCTTTCCTTGCTATATTCAGATGCAGTCTTTGAATATGGAGGTATTTCCCCATTGAGTACTCCTTCCTGTGTTACCATATTCCTTGGATTCATTGACAATGGTATTGATTGTTATCTATGATTCCTTGACAGAATTGGTGCCATCCAGTACTTCATATCCCTGGGCTCGACGTTGGTCACGCTTTACCACAAACATCGTGAGCAGGAACAGCAGTGATCCCAGCACGTACAGCCCCGGATACAAGATGTAGAGTGATCCTGTAACATGGAAGAGTGAGTGAGCGACCCTAGATAGAGATGTAGAGTGATCCTGTACCATGGGAGAGTGAGTGAGTGAGTGACCCTAGATAGAGATGTAGAGTGATCCTGTAACATGGGAGAGTGAGTGAGTGAGTGACCCTAGATAGAGATGTAGAGTGATCCTGTAACATGGGAGAGAGTGAGTGAGTGACCCTAGATAGAGATGTAGAGTGATCCTGTAACATGGGAGAGTGAGGAGTGAGTGACCCTAGATAGAGATGTAGAGTGATCCTGTAACATGGGAGAGTGAGAGTGAGTGAGTGACCTAGAGTGATCCTGTAACATGAGTGAGTGAGTGAGGAGTGATCCTAGATAGAGATGTAGAGAATCCTGTAACATGGGAGAGTGAGTGAGTGACCCTAGATAGAGATGTAGAGTGATCCTGTAACATGGGAGAGTGAGTGAGTGACCCTAGATAGAGATGTAGAGTGATCCTGTAACATGGGAGAGTGAGTGAGTGAGTGACCCATAGATAGAGATGTAGAGTGATCCTGTAACATGGGAGAGTGAGTGAGTGAGTGACCCTAGATAGAGATGTAGAGTGATCCTGTAACATGGGAGAGTGAGTGAGTGAGTGACCCTAGATAGAGATGATAGAGAGTGATCCTGTAACATGGGAGAGGAGAGTGAGTGAGTGACCCTAGATAGAGATGTAGAGTGATCCTGTAACATGGGAGAGTGAGTGAGTGAGTGACCCTAGATAGAGATGTAGAGTGATCCTGTAACATGGGAGAGTGAGTGAGTGAGTGACCCTAGATAGAGATGTAGAGTGATCCTGTAACATGGGAGAGAAAGCGACCCTAGATAGAGATGTAGAGTGATCCTGTAACATGGGAGAGTGAGTGAGTGAGTGACCCTAGATAGAGATGTAGAGTGATCCTGTAACATGGGAGAGTGAGTGAGTGAGTGACCCTAGATAGAGATGTAGAGTGATCCTGTAACATGGGAGAGTGAGTGAGTGAGTGACCCTAGATAGAGATGTAGAGTGATCCTGTAACATGGGAGAGTGAGTGAGTGACCCTAGATAGAGATGTAGAGTGATCCTGTAACATGGGAGAGTGAGTGAGTGAGTGACCCTAGATAGAGATGTAGAGTGATCCTGTAACATGGGAGGTGGTGAGTGAGTGAGGAGTGATCCCTAGATAGAGATGTAGAGTGATCCTGTAACATGGGAGAGTGAGTGAGTGAGAGTGACCCTAGATAGAGATGTAGAGTGATCCTGTAACATGGGAGAGTGAGTGAGTGAGTGACCCTAGATAGAGATGTAGAGTGATCCTGTAACATGGGAGAGTGAGTGAGTGAGTGACCCTAGATAGAGATGTAGAGTGATCCTGTAACATGGGAGAGTGAGTGAGTGAGTGAGTGATCCTAGATAGAGATGTAGAGTGATCCTGTAACATGGGAGAGTGAGTGAGTGAGTGACCCTAGATAGAGATGTAGAGTGATCCTGTAACATGGGAGAGTGAGTGAGTGAGTGACCCTAGATAGAGATGTAGAGTGATCCTGTAACATGGGAGAGTGAGTGAGTGAGTGACCCTAGATAGAGATGTAGAGTGATCCTGTAACATGGGAGAGTGAGTGAGTGAGTGACCCTAGATAGAGATGTAGAGTGATCCTGTAACATGGGAGAGTGAGAGTGAGTGAGTGACCCTAGATAGAGATGTAGAGTGATCCTGTAACATGGGAGAGTGAGTGAGTGACCCTAGATAGAGATGTAGAGTGATCCTGTAACATGGGAGAGTGAGTGAGTGAGAGTGATCCTAGATAGAGATGTAGAGTGATCCTGTAACATGGGAGTGAGTGAGTGAGTGACCCTAGATAGAGATGTAGAGTGATCCTGTAACATGGGAGAGTGAGTGAGTGAGTGACCCTAGATAGAGATGTAGAGTGATCCTGTAACATGGGAGAGTGAGTGAGTGAGTGACCCTAGATAGAGATGTAGAGTGATCCTGTAACATGGGAGAGTGAGTGAGTGAGTGACCCTAGATAGAGATGTAGAGTGATCCTGTAACATGGGAGAGTGAGTGAGTGAGTGACCCTAGATAGAGATGTAGAGTGATCCTGTAACATGGGAGAGTGAGTGAGTGAGTGACCCTAGATAGAGATGTAGAGTGATCCTGTAACATGGGAGAGTGAGTGAGTGAGTGACCCTAGATAGAGATGTAGAGTGATCCTGTAACATGGGAGAGTGAGTGAGTGACCCTAGATAGAGATGTAGAGTGATCCTGTAACATGGGAGAGTGAGTGAGTGAGTGACCCTAGATAGAGATGTAGAGTGATCCTGTAACATGGGAGAGTGAGTGAGTGACCCTAGAGTGACCCTAGATAGAGATGTAGAGTGATCCTGTAACATGGGAGAGTGAGGAGAGTGAGTGATCCTAGATAGAGATGTAGAGTGATCCTGTAACATGGGAGAGTGAGTGAGTGAGTGACCCTAGATAGAGTGACCCCAGATAGAGAGTAGAGTGATCCTGTAACATGGGAGTGAGTGAGTGACCCTAGATAGAGATGTAGAGTGATCCTGTAACATGGGAGAGTGAGTGAGTGAGTGACCCTAGATAGAGATGTAGAGTGATCCTGTAACATGGGAGAGTGAGTGAGTGAGTGACCCTAGATAGAGATGTAGAGTGATCCTGTAACATGGGAGAGTGAGTGAGTGACCCTAGATAGAGATGTAGAGTGATCCTGTAACATGGGAGAGTGAGTGAGTGAGTGACCCTAGATAGAGATGTAGAGTGATCCTGTAACATGGAAGTGAGTGAGTGACCCCAGATAGAGATGTAGAGTGATCCTGTAACATGGGAGAGTGAGTGAGTGAGTGACCCTAGATAGAGATGTAGAGTGATCCTGTAACATGGGAGAGTGAGTGAGTGAGTGACCCCAGATAGAGATGTAGAGTGATCCTGTAACATGGAAGAGTGAGTGAGTGATTGAGTGAGTGACCCCAGAAACAAGATGTCGAGTGATCCTTAACATGGGAGAGTGAGGGAGTGAGTAAATCAGTGAGCAGGTGGGTGCATTGATGGGTAAGTGTGGGACAAGATGAGGGGTGAGATGCTACAGCTTAAGATAAATAGTCTCATCGGCATCATGTGACCTGCATCAGAGCGTGTCCGACAATAACACTCACCTCTAAGGGACTGCACTTTAGTGAATCCTCTGGCTTCGAAGCTGGACTGTATGTAGGGTACCAACAAGGGCACGTTGCCCCCGACGTTGCTAATGATGAAGAGGTAGACGGCCACAGCGCCAGCTCTCACATTACTGGGCACCAGCTCGACCAGCACTGCCAGGGCCACACCCACCCACATTTCTCCTGCAAGTGTGTATATAAACCATCATAGCCATAGTAAAATCAGTTGTCCCTTCCAGTTTGTTATAAATTCAGTTGATGATGATGATGACGACAACGATGTCTGCACGTGTTCGTGTGTCCACCATCTGGTCACCTACCATTGGATGAGTGGGTTCTTTTAAGTGCACAGGGTTGTGTACTGCACACTAGGGGTTGTGACAACACTGAAAGAGCCTGCAAGTAATGTTAGCTCCAAGGTTTTTACACCCAGTCACATTGGGGATCCATCCAGGCACCTTTCGCTTACTAGCGCGGTGCCTTAGACAGCTCGCCCACCATGCCCTAGTTTAATCTGTTGTACAGAAAAGGTTCTGCAGGTCAACGATTTAAAAAATAATGACCAATTGGTACATAAGATGGTTACATTTGTCGCTTAAAAAAGGAAAAAAAATCCCGAAATCCCCAAGGTTCTCCAGAATGTCTTGCAATTGTTAGAGACACCAATGCCAACATCATCTCCACAAAATGTCTGCTGAGAAGCGGCGTCAGGTAAGATTTCTATAGACAGACAGTCACATGGAAGAACTGAAGGCACACAGATGTCAGCTCACAGGAACTGGGACTTACCAATAATGTATGTCGGTATCTGGCTGATAAAGGCACCAGGTGGGTTCAGGAACAGAGCACCTGCTGCAAAGGGGGCGGCTAAAATCTGCAAGGGAAATCAGATATGAAGCTATGAACACAAGAGACCATTTTAACTGTATACACAAGCTTATTCCTGTACACAGACATTTAAACATCCTTGTATGGGGATCAGTCTGTCCATGAAGTGTCCATGAATGTCCATTAATTACCAGGAAAGTCTTTGGAAAATTGTGCCCCCACATGATTGTGGTAAAATCAGAAAGCAGAGCCCAAAACATGGTGTAAGGGAGGTAACTCTGACAGCCAAAGCTGCATTTGACAAGCCCATTTGACAAGGTGCAGTGTCAAAGTTAACTTTACACCCAAATACCTACATATTTAACTGAAGCACTAAATGAGCACTATCTTTCTGCATCAGGCTTCTTTCATAATATTTTGTCATAACCAATCTTCATCAACACGTACTTGTCATAAGAGGCAACAGACTGTTTTATGTGGTCAGGATGAAGAGTTAGGCATTTCAGCCTATCCCCATTGCATAGTGCTCATGATGTCAATCACTGGATTGTCTCGCCCATTCCTGATTATTTACAGACATTTGTCATATACCTGGACTATTGGTGGGTGGGGCATAAAACAATAAATCTAGAACACTGATTTTTTCCATTCAACTCACACAACCACTCCTATTTCTAAAATGCGCATCGAGGAAGGAAAATCAGTTAAATTCAAATGAAATTTTTAATAAATAATCCGAAAGATTTAAAACCTACAGCCAGAAAAACACTGAATGCTTTTTATCCTGGGGCCTTGTTCAGTAGGGCTGATATTTGACATGCTATTTCCCTGCAAACTGCACATCCCTCTCTAGAGCATCTACATTGCTGTAGTGAGTTGGTTTCAAAGACAATAACAGAAATAACCAATTCACTCTTCATCCCTACATAAAGTTGCCACCTTGGCTACATATATTTGTTTGGAAGGAGGAATACTGAAAAGTATCTATATATTCGAGCAAAAGAAAATATGTAATTTTCTGAGTAAAATTGATATTTTATACTTATCCTGACTCATGTATTATTGCTTGTCTCCTTCCTTTCGCGAACGTTAGTGGAACACTTGTATCTCCTTTTTGAAGCTCCCTTTCAAAAGAGCAGACGTAAAATCATTACTCACCATGAGTTATGTCCCTCTGGTTTTGGCGGAGTTAAGAAAACAGCTGTACCTGTCTTCCCAATGTTCTTATCGCTTCACTCTCTCCTAAGAAATAAACATAATAGCTAGTCCGACACTTTTAATTTACAGGGAAATCCAAAGTGCCTAGTGTAATCGCGGGAGGTTGGGAGGCATATTGTGATTTTTCTTATTCATGAGTCAGGATAAGTATAAAATATCAATTTTACTCAGAAAATTACATATTTTTCCTTATCCTGACTCATGTATTATTGCTTGTAGAATCCGACAGAATTGGTGGTGGGACAAGCCACTTCTGGATTCCAATTAGTGATTTACGTCCTGCATACCCCCCTATGGGAACTTCCTGGTAGCACTTCTATTTACTGCTAGGCTCTGCTGCTGCTGTAACCCTTCACTTCCAACTTTCTCTGATGGGGGGACCACAATTGTTAACTTTTGGTCCTTGCTTCTGTTAACATTATTATGCGGATTTTGCAACTCCATCTCTTGATGCGAGCATCAAGTGGAGAAGCGACCCTTTCCTGTACGGAAAGTATGTCCTTACAAGTACTGGGTCTTATGCTAGGCTCTGCTGCTGTACCCTTGCTTCCAGCTTTCTCTGATGGGGGGACCACAATTGTTAACTTTTGGTCCTTGCTTCTGTTAACATTACTATGTGGATTTTGCAACTCCATCTCTTGATGCAAGCATCAGTGGAGAAGCGACCCTTTTATGTACGAGTACGTCCTTACAAGTACTGGGTCTTATCACTTATGCTTAGTCTGTCTTAGATGTGCATATGGACTCTAAAGCTGAACTCTCCTGAGTGTAGGCATTTGCAAGTCATGTGATAAAAGGGCGAGACTCCGTCTCAGCGCCTTTGTGGGACTGTCAATCGTTGTGCTACAACAAGTGGGCCGAAATGGTGAATGCCAGAGCCGTCCTCGGTGGCGATGTCCCTCAGGTAGCGGTTGGCAAACACCACGTCCCATTTCCAGAAGCAGTCCTCCATTATCGTCCTGATAGAGCAATTCCCATGTAGAGCGGGTGTTGACGCCAGAGCTCTAACTTCATGTGGGTTGGAGGCTCTTGGAGGATCAAGTCCTGCTGCTTTGTAGGCCCGTAGTATGACAGTTCTGATCCATATTGATATCGCAGTGTGGGAGACCTCTGTCTGTGTTGCTGTCGATATCGGGATGAAAAGACGCTTGAATTTTCATCTCCTGGTCCTAGATCTTTGTAGGTAGACTTTCCATGCTCTTACTGGGCATCAGGATAGGTCCTGTGTATCCTGTGTTCCAAGGACTGATGATAGTGCTGGGATGTGGAACTGTCTGTCCGGTTGACCTGGCAGTTGATTCTTTGCTATAAAGTCCCATCTCAGTCCCATATGCACGATGTTTTGATTTCCATCAAATCGTGTCCTCTCAAAGTCCAGAGCATGTATTTCCGACGTCCTTGCTGCTGTTGCTAAGGCGATCAGGAACAGCGTCTTCTGCGTCAAGAACTCAAAAGATGTCCTATCTAATGGTTCGTAAACGTCACTGGTGAGATGTCCTAGAACTATGTTGAGGTCCCATGCCAGAGCTTTAAATCTCTGTTGTTGGTCCTCCAGTCTAAAAGAGCGTGGTAAGGCCAGTAACTCTGGTACCTTCGTCAGTTTTACACTCGTCGTCATAGTGATAACTGAGCTCAATGCCACTAGGTATGTTGAGAGTGTTGACCCTTTTAACCGCTTCGTTTGTCTTAGGTGACAAAGGTAGTCCGCCACTTGAGGGTGTGTCGCTTTTATGGCTGTGAAGCCGCTCCTCAAGGCGTATGTCTCGAAGCTTCGCCACTTGTCGTCGTACAAGTTGCGTGATGACTTGCGTAGAGCTAGTGTGACTGCTTTCGCTGCCCTGGCGGAATATCCTCTCTTGTTCAAGCACGCCTTGATACGGTCCACACGTGTAGCCGGAACACCTCTGGGTTGCCGTGCGCCTGCTTTGTGTGTGGATGTACTAGCAGGTTCGTCCACTCTGGTAGCTGCAGTTGAGGCGGTCCTAGTTCTTGTAGTAGAATGGGGAATCATATTCTCGCTGGCCAGTAAGGCGCGACCAAAATCAGTTGTAGGTCCTTCGTCTGACTGATTTTCTGCAACACCTTCAGTATTAGAGCTGGTGGTGGAAACGCGTAAGCGTTTAGTCCTTGCCAGGAGATGCTTAGAGCGTCCTTTGCCCATGCTCGTGGATCTGGTATTGGCGAGACGAAATGTTATCAGTTGACTGTTGAATCTTGTGGCAAATAGGTCTATTAGTGGCGCTCAGATCTCTTATATGATCTGTTTGAAGATCTCTGGATGTAGCATCCATTCTGTTGGGGATGGCTGCATTGGACGGGATAGTGCGTCTGCTATCACATTCTTGGCTCCTGGAATGTGGCATGCTCTTATGTGGATGTTCAGGTTGTCTGTTATGCTGAACAGTTGAAAGCAGAGGTCCAGAAGGTTCGCCGACCTTGTTGATCTGTCTGTTTATGTAGAACGCCACTGTGGAGTTGTCTGTATGTACAGTCAGATGAGCATTCTTCAAAATGCTGGTCCAGTGGAGTATGGCGTTTATCACTGCTTTCATTTCAAGCATGTTGATGTGCAGATCTTTCTCCTCTATGGTCCATATCCCAGCTGACACTTCGTTGTCGAGGTGTGCTCCCCAACCTTGGAGAGATGAGTCCACATAGAGATGCGTCTTGCACTCCGGCTCTGCTAATTAGGTGCTTCCGCAACCATTCGATCTCTGATCCACCATATTAGATATGGTTTTAGTCTGTCCGGGAGTCCGAAGGAGTCCGGATCGTCCAGATGTACATTCATGAAGACCTGTAGTGGGCGTAGTTGTAGTCTCCCTCTGCGTGTCATTTCCTGTGCTGATGTGAGGAGATCCCACACACTATGCCACTTTGTAGTAATAACGGAGAGAGTAGTGCTTGAGATACAATGGCTTGTATCTAGATCCAACGATCGTGAAACCCTTGCCGTTCCGTAAGGGAAATGAAGCGATGTCCGACTCTGTTACTGCCATCGTTGTGAAGTCTATATAAAGTAGTCTGGCTGCCGTCACCAAAGGTCCGTCCAACGTATGTTGCTGCAATTCGCCTGATGAATCGTCTTCAATGCTGACAGGGAAGGTCCCTAACCCCGGGAAGGCAGCCAAATCATGTAGGTCCCGTCTAACTGGACTGTAATTGAGGCCTTCCTCCCACGTTGACAGGTTGTTGTCACTTGTAAACCCATTTCCTGACATGTGAACTACGTCCGACTTCTGCGCAGGGTGTTGTCTCTCATGGTCCAATCAAAAGGAAGCATTTTGATTCCTTTAGCTTCCCGCGATGTGACGTCACTGGTGTGGCAGGAAAAAGGTCCTTATAGAATCTAGTGCCGCCGTTGATATCTTATCAACACTCGGTCTTGTCCGTAGCCTTCCGGAGTTACACGAGTGGCCACGTGTATTGAGGGTTGAATGGTAAACGCACGAAAAATTTCGCCGCGTAATACCGATGTAGGTAGGCTGTTTTCCTGGCTGCTGTGACTGTTACTTCAGTCCTGAAGATAATGACGTCGTCCTTTTATACAGATGATCAGCTGAAGTGTACACCTCCTCAGTGCTGCTACTTGTAGACTGTCTTCATCGATCTTAATGAAGCATCGTAATTGTAGAGTTGATGCTGAACTTTGTTGTAAATTCTACACAGGGAGTCGTTGATGATTTTTTAGTTTCCTAGCCTTAGCAAGGCTGCTGCTGAACCACGCCACTGTGAATACCTGCAGATCTGTACGGAAGTGAAGATCTCTATATGGCCATGAGTCCCGTTATTATCTTCTGATGTAGATAAATCTATCTAAAATTTCTGAACGATGTGAATCCCGTCCTGGATTCAGTCTGAACGTCCGTGCAGGTGATGATTTCGGACAAGAGTACCCCTCTTGAACTGCAGAACATGTCCCTCAGTCTTTGCGCCGGCGAAGATCTTTTCCTTCTAGGGTGACGCTAGGTCCAGTCCGAAATGATGATACCGCCATCGTCCTCTGTATCATGTCCACTGGTATATGATGGTTGAATATCCTTGGAGATCTGCGTGGCGATCTGCGTGGTGCGTCTATATGGCGATCTGTGTGTAGGTGAGCGTCTTCTAGGCCGGGATTGCCTTCCTGGCAATGTATTCCTAAGTGGTGAATCCCATGATGATCTGCGAGGTGTTGTTGATACCCTTGAAGATAATTCAGATGACCTTCGCGCAGGTGAGAAATTTTTGTTGAGGGTATGAGTCCCGAAACGTCTCTCTAGTCCTTCTAGGTGGTGTAGGTAGCCTGCGTGAAGGTCCTTTATTAGCCTCATCATTTGCTGACGATCTCATTGGTTCTGAAGATTGCGCCGTCCTGTGTGCAGGCTGCTGACGTCATGTAGCGTAGGACTGCTTTATGACGTCTAATTAGGTCCGGGGAACGTCTATTTCTCCTTCATGAAGGCTCGTCCGAGTCGTGTGCATTTTGCAGGTCCTTCTGCATTCCAGGTCCTTCATTGGTGACTTTCGTGAAGACCTGTGTGGAGATATTGACGTTCTAGATGATCTTCCTGAAGACCTGCGCTCAAGTGAGAGGTTCTGTTGAGGGTCTGGGTCCTGAGACGTTTCTCTGTACCTTCTTGGAGGTGTAAGTTTCTTCCTCTGCGTTGCAGGTAGCCTGCGTGAAGGTCCTTCATAGTCTCATGATCAGATGACGATCTACTTCGGCCCGGTGAACGTCCATTTCCTTCATGTAGGCTTGTTGGCGTCGTGCAGGGCGGGTCTGCTCTTAGTCCTAGAGCTAGATCCTCTCGTAGACATCTCAGATGCACCACCGGTGCGGGGTCCTTCGTGCAGCAATGGTCCCTCCCATAGGTTGATGACTTGAACATGAGAGCCATCTGGCTGTCCATCATGCAAGGCCCTGCGCGAAGCGCTTCCATCAGTCCATCATCTGCTGGGAGAATAGCTGCATGAAGGTCCCGGGGTTGAACGTCTGCGACGACAGTAGTGATGACGCATCTGAGAGAGGGTAGCGATAAGGTCCAGGGATCGCTGTGCCTCATGGGTCCCTGCTGCCAGTGTTGAAGGTAACTCAGACTGCGTTGATAATGTTGCTGACGTTACCGTTGCTGAGGCCTGCATCTTCTTCTTATGCAGTATCTCTGCATAAAGGTCCTGGGGGTTGAACGTCTGTGACGATTGTAGAGATGTCCTATCTGCGCTGGTAGCGATATGGTCCAAGGATCGCTCATCTGCTGCCCGTGTAGACGGTAACTCGGACTGCGTAGATAGGTCTGCTGACGTTACCGTTGCTGAGGCCTGCGTCTTCTTCTTATGCAGTATCTCTGCATAAATCTGGGATGATCAGCAGCGGTTCATCATAAAGTCCTCTCTCTTCAAACGGGACGATCTCGGCCGAAAAGGTCCTCGTAGTCTGCGAAAGAACTCCCCGTAGAGCTGCTAGACGTCTTAGGGGTGTGAGGCTTCTTCTGCGTTGAAGATGGCCTCTTCTTCTTCGTCTGGGTTGAGGGTTGTCCGATGTAGAAGCCCTCTTCTTCGAAGTAATGGCGGACAACATTCCACGCCCATCCTCCGAGGACGCCTCCGGCAGGTCACTGGATGGAAGTATGTCATCTGACAACGATAGACAGCTCTTGAGGGACTCAGCCGGTTATCCATGACTTGTAAAAGTCGCCTAAGTACAGAGAAATAATAATTATTAATTTGAATTTGTGTTAAATGCTGACAAAGTTTACAGCGAGAGCTGGAAGTACATGTTGTTGTGCAGCTAAGGCACAATAAATGCGGGTCTGCAGCAGAGAACCTATACCTACAACGAAAACAGGTTTTCATGAAATGTAAACAACTGAACAGCCACGTACAAAACCGTGAATAAACAGTGAAATTACGAATAAATTTCAAACCATATGATTGTTGAAGGATACTCCCTAAAACCTTATAAGGTAACTTATAGGGAAAATAACTAATTAATCAAAGGATATAGTGCCGTATTGGAGACACAGGTGCTCTCCCAACCGTCCACTAGGGCGAAGAAGGAGAGAGTGAAGCGTGGGAAGACAGGTGGCTCTGTTTTCCTGCCAAAACCAGAGGGACATAACTCATGGTGAGTAATGATTTTACGTCTGCTCTTTTGAAAAGGAGCTTCAAAAAGGAGATACAAGTGTTCCACTAACGTTCGCGAAAGGAAGGAGACAAGCAATAATACATGAGTCAGGATAAGGAAAAATAATATCTTTCCGTACAATTTTGCAGTCATACTTCCATGATTGTGTGACCTTGAAGTTTTTTCAATTCTTGAGTAGCAGTACAATCTTGTAAGTTGGAAAATATTTATTATGTTTTATGAGCCATTACATTAAAATTGAGACCAATTTTTGTTAACCAAAAAAAACCGCCTTACATACCTGACTAGCCACAAGAATAAGAACCCTGGCATACAGTCCACGCTTCTTCACCACACGGTCGGAGATGAAGCCGCCAACGACAACGCCGATACTGCCACTGACCAGCGGGATCCACGACATGTACGTCCCGATCTGCTCCTTCGTCTGGCCAACCATGATAAAGTACGGCTGAGTATTGTACGCCCACACATAGCCCGCTGTAAACAGAAATAAGTTTCAAATAACTATGTGACACTAGTTAGCCAATCAGACAGAATCAACACATCCTGGTTCCTGTACACAAATTTATAGTGAGCATGGTTTTATGTAGATAAACGTCTAGTCTCTAAAATGAAAACATTTGACGAAAAGCAATATACTCTAAATTATCATCATAAAATGTGATAAACAGGACACTACCTTAGCACAGAATTTCTTTGACCTTTGAGCCAATAACCAACAACCATTCCCTTGAATATGAGTTGGACATAGATGGCAACCTCTTACAACATATTTATCAGAATATAATATATCAACATTCAAGCAGGAAATATGTTTTCCTAAAAATGAGTGAGAAGTTCATATGCTACCATTCATTCCTAGTTGTATCTTAAAGACATTATGTCATGAGACAAATCAATGTATGTCATGGTAAAAGTCATAAAAAGCACAGCATTTTGACTGGACAAAGAGGAGGATAACAACAGCAGATGAACAACTTCTTTAATGCAGTGACAGCGACATTTCAGTGTAGGTTCTAACACTGTTCTCAAGCAAGTGTTTATAGTGGAATACACTGAAACGTCGCTCTCATTGTAATAAAGAAGTTGTTCATCCATATATTGTTATCCTTCCTTACTGCTCCAACTTCTAACTGCCTCTCAAAGACGCTGACTGGACAACAGTTTGAGCTTCAACTGAAACACAGTCATGGTGGCAAATTTGGGCAGGTGAATATTAATCCAAAGAGCAAATCCTTGACCTTGCCAACTGACATTCATATTCTTCCTGAGTATCTTCACACCTAGCAGTGAAGCCCATTTCTGGTGTGCCCCGCCGTGATGTTGCTGGAATATTGCTAAAAGCGGCGTAGAACCAAACTCAGTCAGTCAGTCAGTCACACCTAGCAGCATGGGTGAGACTCAATACAATGCAGATCGTCCAGTCTAGTTGTATCTGTATTCCTAAAGAGACATATGAGAGATGGAATTTGTGGGTCTTCACCGGAATGTGAACTGAATCCACTGGATGAGGACAGACCGAGTGGATCTCTGCCTGAACTTCTAATGGCGCCATATGATAACGGACACACAGGCTGGATCCCTACTTGCCATTCCAATGGATCCTTAAGAGGATGAAGACCCTGGATGGAATCCCCACATGGGTACAATGTGTGAAGCCCATTTCTTGTGTCTCCTGCTGTGATATTGCTGGAATATTGCTAAAAGCGGCATAAAACCAAACTCACTCACTCACTCCATAAGAGGACTGAACAGAGTGAATCCATACTTGCATTCCTAAAGAAGCCAAATGATAACGGTCAAACTGGGTGGATTTCTAATGGATCCATATCAGGATCATACAATGTGGATCCCTACCTGCATTCCTAATGGATCCATATCAGGATCATACAATGTGGATCCCTACCTGCATTCCTAATGGAGCCTACAATAAGGGGCAGACTGAGTGGATCCTTACCTGCATTCCTAATGGATCCATATCAGGAGCATACAATGTGGATCCTTACCTGCATTCCTAATGGAGCCTACAATAAGGGGCAGACTGAGTGGATCCCTACCTGCATTCCTAATGGATCCATATCAGGAGCATACAATGTGGATCCTTACCTGCATTCCTAATGGAGCCTACAATAAGGGGCAGACTGAGTGGATCAATACCTGCATTCCTAATGGAGTCTGCAATAAGGGACAGACTGAGTGGATCCCTACCTGCATTCCTAATGGAGCCTACAATAAGGGGCAGACTGAGTGGATCCCTACCTGCATTCCTAATGGAGCCTACAATAAGGGACAGACTGAGTGGATCCCTACCTGCATTCCAAATGGAGTCTACAATAAGGGAAAGACTGAGTGGATCCCTACCTGCATTCCTAATGGAGTCTACAATAAGGGGCAGACTGAGTGGATCCCTACCTGCATTCCTAATGGAGTCTACAATAAGGGATCCCTACCTGCATTCCAAATGGAGTCTACAATAAGGGAAAGACTGAGTGGATCCCTACCTGCATTCCTAATGGAGTGAGTGGATCTACAATAAGGAAAGACTGAGTGGATCCCTACCTGCATTCCTAATGGAGCCTACAATAAGGGAAAGACTGAGTGGATCCCTACCTGCATTCCAAATGGAGTCTACAATAAGGGACAGACTGAGTGGATCCCTACCTGCATTCCTAATGGAGTCTACAATAAGGGACAGACTGAGTGGATCAATACCTGCATTCCTAATGGAGCCTACAATAAGGGACAGACTGAGTGGATCCCTACCTGCATTCCAAATGGAGTCTACAATAAGGGACAGACTGAGTGGATCAATACCTGCATTCCTAATGGAGCCTACAATAAGGGACAGACTGAGTGGATCCCTACCTGCATTCCAAATGTAGTCTACAATAAGGGAAAGACTGAGTGGATCAATGCATTCCTACCTGCATTCCTAATGGAGCCTACAATAAGGGACAGACTGAGTGGATCCCTACCTGCATTCCTAATGGAGTCTACAATAAGGGAAAGACTGAATGGATCAATACCTGCATTCCAAATGGAGTCAATACAATACAGAGGGATCACCTGACAGACTGAGTGGATCCCTACCTGCATTCCTAATGGAGTCTACAATAAGGGACAGACTGAGTGGATCCCTACCTGCATTCCTAATGGAGCCTACAATAAGGGACAGACTGAGTGGATCAATACCTGCATTCCTAATGGAGTCTACAATAAGGACAGACTGAGTGGATCAATACCTGCATTCCTAATGGAGCCTACAATAAGGGACAGACTGAGTGGATCAATACCTGCATTCCAAATGTAGTCTACAATAAGGGACAGACTGAGTGGATCCATACCTGCATTCCTAATGGAGTCTACAATAAGGGGACAGACTGAGTGGATCCCTACCTGCATTCCTAATGGAGCCTACAATAAGGGAAAGACTGAGTGGATCCCTACCTGCATTCCAAATGGAGTCTACAATAAGGGACAGACTGAGTGGATCCCTACCTGCATTCCTAATGGAGTCTACAATAAGGGACAGACTGAGTGGATCCCTACCTGCATTCCTAATGGAGCCGGCCACACACAGCATGATGAGAGAAGGACTGAGGAATGGCCTGAGTATTCTTCCAAGCCTCTGACAAATGGTGATTTTCTCTGTTTGAATGAAGCCTTCTTGTTCATTAGCTGGCTGCACTGCATGACGGGCTGGTTCCTTGAGGGTGAAGATGATGAGCACTCCTAGAATGAGCCCTGGGATGCCGGAGATGTAGAACGCCCATCGCCACCCCTGAAACACGACACGGTCTGATATAACACTACTCTGTGTCCTTACACTGAGTGATAATTGTTGTTTAATGTTTCACTCAGCAATATTCCAGCTATGTGATGGTAATCTGACAATAACTGAGTATGAACCAGACAATCCAGTGATTGACTTCATGAACATTGTTTGGATACAGTGACATGTGTTGCAGACAATGGGTCCTTATATGGAATAAAGACATCGATCAAATAACCCTATCACCTACACAAGTAGAAACATAAAGGCTTAGAAGCTCACCCGGAATCTGTGTGGAATATTATCAACATCACAGATCAATTTATTTCAAGATATGATTTGAAGATCATACTTAGAAAATAACCTTCAAATTTCTTAGAATTATGGATTAAACCTCAAATCTAGTGAATGATTAAACTCAACACTTTTCCTTTTTCACTTCCTCAAAATGCATTGAAGGCGGAATGAAAACAAATGGGTGGGCAGGTGAACAAGGAATGAGGTGAGTTATCTCCCTTCAATTTCAGACATGGATTTGCTATGACATATATTTTATATATTACTACAGTTTATCTCAATCTGTCATGAAAGAAATAAAGGCCCACATATCCTAATAACAAATTCAAGTGACTATATGCGATTTTTCTGCATGGCAACCTGTCATAATGGACCACAGATCTCTGCATGAAGCACAAACACATCTTGCTTTGGTTACTTGTTTTACACCGCACTCAGCAATATTCCAGCTATATGGTGCTAGTCTGAAAATAATCGTGTCTGGACCTGACAATCCAGTGATCAACAGCATGAGCATCGATCTACCGGGAACCGATGACACGTGTCAACCAAGTCAGCGAGCCTGACCACCCAATCTCGTTAGTCAGCCTCTTACGACAAGCATGAGTTGCTGAAGATCAATTCTAACCCGGATCTTCACAGGTTGTCTCTTCAAGTGTTATTTATCTAAATAATACAACAAAACAAGGTACAAATGTTGATAATGATATGCGGCATTGATGATATGAAGATAAACCTAAAATGAAAAAAATAACAGCCAAATTTGGAAACATGTGACTTTAAGACCCAGTTTTTATAAGAATTCTTATAAAATTTGTACAGTTTCTAAAGGATATTATATCCCATCTTAGTATACGTCCTGTCCCATATTTTAAGAATTAAGCATACTAATGCCCAGCTTCTCCAGAATGTTGCAACATTTATACACAATGCACTGTCTAAATGCAAATGTGCTTGTACCACTCACCCATTGTAACCGTTTTTATGTGTACTACGGGCCTCTGGACTACAGTTCAGAAATAAGCAATCACAATATAGTTTCTAAATGCTTATTCATTGTCTATTTAATTTTTCAGACACAGACACGGGCACATTTGCCATTGCGGTGAACATGCTTGCTGCCCCAAAACTGCAAGTACCGCTTCGCTTGCAGATTGGCAAATGCTTATTGTTGTCCCAAATACAAACACTGTCCGCTACGGTCACAGATCATTTGCATATGCCGCAGCAACTGAGTGGAATAATCTGCCCCAAAAACTCAAAGACTCTCAAACGTTGTCATCCTTTAAATCCTTACTAAAAACTTTCCTCTTCCGCCAAGCTTTCCCTGACTCTTAATATCAAACCATGTTTGTGCGCTTTGAGCATCCTTATGTTTGGAAATAGCGCTATATAAATGCACTATTATTATTATTATTATTATTAAAGCGGAGAATGAGAGCAGTGTTTACCTGTCCGTTGATGTTGGCCAGTGTGATGAAGTTGCCAATAGCATAGGAGAGACTGTAGCCCATGTAGATGCCCCAGTTATAGACGCCCAGAGCTAGGCCCCGAACTGATGCCGAGAAGTAGTCAGTAAGGATGGAAGCAGCAATTGGGGTACACCCAGCCTCCCTAGACAACAGATCGCCATGGTTACACTCTCCTCATTACATATTCAGGGTTCATATGATTATCAGCCATCAAAGTAAATGCCTTTTTAGGGGCTTTTCAAGGTCCAATCAACAATTTTATGGAACCCTAAAAACACATATAACACACAAGGTTGATCAAATGTGGGACAGACCATCAGAGGGAATGTATTAAATACATTAGTGCACTGGGAAAGTTTAGCTTCGCGATGGAGTGAGTCAGTGAGAATGGTTTTACGCTGCTTTTAGCAATAATCCAGCAATATCATGGTGGCACACACCAAAACCGGTCGTCAGTGTGACGAGCGAACCCTTTAACCACTAGGCTACCCCACCGTTCAGCTCACCCCATGCCCAGTCCGAATCTCAGAATGGCCAGCTGCCAGTACTCATTGACGGCGCCAGTGAGGAGGGTCATCAAGGACCAGAAGATGAGGCAGATGGCCAGGAGGATTTTCCTGTTGTACAAGTCAGCGGCGAAGCCGATGAAGATGCCCATGAAGGTGTAGATGAGGATGAAGATGGGCCCGCCACTAGCTGGTACTCATAGCCCTGGCCGTTGTAGTCCCACTTACACACTGCCGACCCGTTCTCACCGTGTATCGACGTGCAGCTGAGATAGATGGTAGAACATCATTACATTGTGAGCAGATGGATGGGACAGTGGATGGGTGAGTGGATGGGAGAGTGGATGGGTGAGTGGATGGGTGAGTCGATGGGAGAGTGGATGGGTGTGTGGATGGGAGAGCAGATGGGCGAGTGGATGGGTGAGTGGATGGGAGAGCAGATGGGTGAGTGGATGGGTGAGTGGATGGGCGAGAAGTGGATGGGTGAGAGTGGATGGGTGTGTGGATGGGTGTGTGGATGGGTGAGTGGATGGGTGAGTGGATGGGTGAGAGCATGGATGGGTGGGGATGGGTGTGGGATGGGTGAGTGGATGGGTGAGTGGATGGGTGAGTGGATGGGTGAGCAGATGGGAGAGAGGATGGGTGTGTGGATGGGTGTGTGTGGATGGGTGAGTGGGATGGGGTGTGTGGATGGTGTGTGGATGGGTGTGTGGATGGGTGAGTGGATGGGTGTGTGGATGGGTGTGTGGATGGGTGAGTGGATGGGTGAGTGGATGGGTGTGTGGATGGGTGTGTGGATGGGTGAGTGGATGGGGAGCGGATGGGTGAGTGGATGGGTGAGTGGATGGGTGTGTGGATGGGTGAGTGGATGGGTGAGTGGATGGGTGAGTGGATGGGTGAGTGGATGGGTGAGTGGATGGGAGTGGATGGGTGTGTGGATGGGTGTGTGGATGGGTGAGTGGATGGGTGAGTGGATGGGTGAGTGGATGGGTGAGTGGATGGGTGTGTGGATGGGTGAGTGGATGGGTGAGTGGATGGGTGAGTGGATGGGTGTGTGGATGGGAGAGTGGATGGGTGTGTGGATGGGTGTGTGGATGGGTGAGTGGATGGGTGAGTGGATGGGTGAGTGGATGGGTGTGTGGAAGGAGAGAAGTGGATGGGTGGAAGTGGATGAGTGTGGAAGAGAGTGGAGTGGGTCAGTGGATGGTGTGGATGGATGGGTGAGTGGATGGGTGTGTGGATGGGTGTGTGGATGGGTGAGTGGATGGGTGTGTGGATGGAGTGAAGTGGATGGGTAGAGTGGATGGGTGAGTGGATGGGTGAGTGGATGGGTGTGTGGATAGGTGAGTGTGTGGAGTGGATGGGTGAGTGGATGGGTGTGGATGGGTAGTGGATGGGTGAGTGGATGGGTGTGTGGATGGGAAGTGGATGGGTAGTGGATAGGTGAGTGGATGAGAGTAGTGGATGGTGTGTGGATAGGTGTGAGTGGATGGGTAGTGTGGATGGATGAAGTGAGTGGATGGGTGTGTGGATGGATAGAGTGGATGGGAGAGTGGATGGGAGAGTGGATGGAAGGGATGGAGTGTGATGTAGCCGGATGGTGTGTGGAAGGGTGAGAAGGATGGGTGAGTGGATGGAAGAGAGTGTATGGTGAGTGGAAGTGGATGGGTGAAGAGTGGATGGATTGGAGAGTGTATGGGTGTGTGGAGTGGAGTGGATAGGTGTGTGTGGATGGGTGGAGTGGATGGGTGAGCGGATGGGAGAGAGCAGATGGGTGAAGATGGGAAGCAGATGGGGCCGGATGGGAGAGCAGGTGGGTGAGTGGATGGAGAAAGCAGATGGGTGAGCGGATGGGAGAGCAGATGGGTGGGTGAAGGAATCGGCTACTGGATGGTTTATAGGATGAGCAAGTGGGTGTTGACAGGATGGTGGGTGTTAGGTGGGCATTGGGAAGGTGTGTTGGTAGGTGAGCGGGGGAGAATGTTTGCAAATGGATGAGTGGATGGGTGCCTGAGTGAGCAGGTGGGCGGGCATGTTGTTAGTGAATACTGAGCTATATGTGTGAGCTGAATCGGTACAGGTGAATGAATGGAGTGACAAGTGAATGAATTGTTGGTGAGTGGCAAGTGGCTAAGCAATGGATTCTGATGTAGATGAGAGGGTACACACAGTATCAATTAACAAACATAACTCAAGGACTATTCAACATCCAAATAATAGTATCAGTTCATGAAGCAAGTATCAAGATAAGAATGAAACATATTGTATATTAATGTTTCATTCGGAGAACCTTTAAACAAAAAAACAAATCATTTGTCCAAACGGAGCTGAAACTCACCCTCCCGATGTGGTTCCATTGCAGCTGACCCCTGCAGATTCAGCAGTCGAGTATGATGTGTTGACCATGCAGGCCTGGTCGCCATAGTGAATCTCCTGGGCCATGGGTTTGGCCGTGATGGCCAGCATGTATCGGTCAAGCTGGTTGAGGAGGTAGGCCAGGAGTACCAACACCAGGACGTACACACTGTAGGGACGCACATCCTTCCACCATCGCTGACCTACAAACAGGGGAGGCAACCACAATTATTCAACCATCGCTGACCTACAAACAGGGGAGGTAACCACAATCATTCCACCAAGGTTAAAACTGATCTTCCCAACCCATGATCAACCTATGCTTGCCACAAGAGGCAACAAACGGGATCAGGTGGTGAGACCGCTGACTTGGTAGATGGTATAGAGCAATGCTAATGATGCAAATCACTGGATTGTCTGGACCAGCCACGATTATTTACAGACCACATTCAAATAGCTGGAAAATTACTCAGGACAAACAAACAAATAGATGAAACTGTTCTGCAAAGAATTGCAATATTATTTTTGGGCCAATACACAGCCCTACTTAAAAGTATTCTTCCCACTGGCACATTTAAATTCTGTAGTCCACACCCACCCATCTACAGCACACTCACAGTTACCCAATAGCCCATTAATTAAACACATTCCCTATCAGTAGCATGGAGAACCTACCTTCTTCCATTGTGATGGTTGATGGTGGCCTGTGTGTGCAACAGCTGGTAGATCCGGATAATGTGAATTCTGTCAAGTAATAAACCTCAAAGTCAGCATAACAGACTGCACTAATTATCAAAGCATGGCTAAACTGACTACACTGTATCAGATGGAAATAAGCAATGAATAATAATTATGACAGTGAATACATCACTGCTAATTCAATCTTGTTGTTTTGAGTCCTGGGATGTATGTAGGATTCTAAGGGTACGTACATAATTTAAGGCTAGGGGGGATGATGATTTTTATGGAGAAGCATGTACAATGTGAATGACACCCCCTAAACTTAATGTACAAAGTAAGTGACCCTTCCCCCCAAAAAACACACACACACTGGATATCATGTACAAAATTGCTGACCCTAATCCCCACCCCTAGTACATGTGTACAAAACTGATGACCCTGCTACCTCCCCAAAACAAACTGGGTGACCCCCATCCCCCCCCCCCCCACCACCAGCCATAAATTATGAACGGTCCCTGAACTTATGTGTCTGTGCCAACTAAGTGATTTAAATACCGTCAAGGATGAGTACCATTTCTGTCTTGTTTGTCCGCTGTACTCAGATCTTAGAAGAAAATATTTACCAAATCACGCTTATAGAAAGCCAAATGTTATTAAATTTACATCACAACTAACAAGTACAAACGTTTCAATGCTTCAGAATTAATCAATGTTCATAATCCATGCAACAGTACAAAGAAACAATTATATTTGAAAAAAATGTAAATGTTACTACTCAAGTGAATACAAATGTATGTATGCTTTTTATGTACTATAGGCCTGTGACCTCTTCAGTCTGGAATAAAGATTGATTGATTGAAACTTAGTGTTTTTGTCAGGTAAACAGGGGTGAATAATTATTTTGTTTACAAATGTGATTTTTTAAAATTCTTGCTTACCTTTTAGCTTGAATTTTAATACAGAACTCTATACAATTACAGACTGGTCGGACCTTGGTTGGAGTCAATATGCTTTTCTGCAACGGTCATGTGACCGCCTCTAGACCAATCAGGTAGCCAGAAAAACATGCTTACATAATAAATTGCAATAATATGAAAATATACTTTAAAGCCACTTTCTCTATACTGGTCCTGCTTAAGTTATCTATTGTTTGACATAAGCAGCAACATGAACATTCAGAAACCAAACATGTTACTACGACTACGTCTACGAGAGATTATTGACTGGTCTGGACTAGGCAGCACGGAATACACTCTGAGGCAAATACGATATATTTATGAAAATATAGTAACAATTAAAAATATTGATTCATGAATATTCTGTTTAATATCAATAAAATCAAATAACAAACATGTCATGTAAGTTCTTATGTTGAATCATTTAAATGATATTTTCTATAATAAAGCAAAACGAGCAATATATTGCGAAAAATGCCATAACATTACAACACAATATATTCAATTTTGAGTATCTCACAAATAGATAAAAAACAAACTAGTTCCAAGTAGCCTGACTTTCTTAAACATATGTGTCATTATTTTATTCTAGTAAACATAAATAATGAATTGAATTCATGAAGGTATAAGGTTCAATTCACTGAATACGCAGGTGACAACACTTGGTTTCAAGGCTTACCTAAATAACGGTGCCAAGCTTCTGGGAGTGAAGTGGCCAGGAAATCAGCTGTATCATTAATGTCAGTGTAGCCATCCAGACTGGCGTCATAGTTTCAGTATTATCTCATATAATAGATTACAACCATAATCTTAAGCTGGTTTCCTCATTTTTCAATCTGGCAGTCATAAGACACTCACTGCCAATGTGCAAACAGTGATCAGGGCAGCATTTTTATTTTTTGTGTTTCTCATCGCTCGACTGACCGTTCTCATTTTATTGCCGACTTCCCTAAAAACATTTTTTCATTCCAACACCGCTGACTCGAACATAAAAAGTACCGCCTCGTCATATAAAATGTTTCTCTATCTAAAATGTTTTATCCAGTCACTGCCACAAGTCCAAAGACCGCGAGAAATTGTAATAAGAATTACAATAAATGAGAATCAAGAAAATTATTCGGATAATTTGGTCTTTTTAAAGGTTTTTTTTTCGCCGACCGACCGACCCATGTTCAGAATTTGGTGGCTATGTGAAACACATCAAAAAAAATAATAATGCCCTAAGATTGTACCATTGGCATAAGGTGTGCTCTCTAATCACTTGATAGGATATTGGTTTTTTGTTATGTAATGTAACATCAGTTACAGTGGAGTCAGTCAGTTGTGAGAGAAGCAAGATGAAAGATGAAAGATGAGATATTATAGTTTCTTGCATACATATTTATTCATTCAGATGTGACTAGTAGCAACAGCTGTTCAGTGTTTACGTACTAGTGCATCACAGAGGTTACTAGCACAGGATCCACCAATCCGGTATGCAATATCTTATCACATATTAAACATGTATTTTAAACTGCAATTATTCCTTACGTTACTTACAATATGTTAATTATCAGGGGTGGACATAACCCATTGCCTGACGTCCGAGTCCAGTGTTTTTTGGTGTCGGGCAAACAAATTTGTATATCACACTGTACCGGTGTCCAGTTGACTTTCCAATGTTAATTATGTTGTTTATTTTAAAAAATCAACAAGAAAACGGGCGGTATAGTGGAAAAATTATCAGGGCAAGTGATTTTACATGTGCCACTGTACTGGAGTACACAAGCAATTTTAAGGTTATTTCCACCCCACCACTATGACTATATAATTATTGTATATCTTGATCTATTGTTAAGACACTTATATGTAGATGAGTCTTATTGAATAATGCAAGTGATATGTACATTTTATACATTCATGAATAACTGAAAAAATCTATCTATCTATATATCTATCTATTGGATTTTATTTCATATTTGCTAATGGTGTCATTTCATTGTTTCAGACTTACGTAACTACACACAATTATTAAAATGAACAAAGTTTAATTCTTATCCACATAAACATACCTGATGACATTCAAATCAATTTCTGAATGGGTTACTCAATTCTCACATCATGCAGGTCCTCTGGGCCTGTGTTTACAATAGCATTTTGTGGAACACGGCCTTGATCCTCATCTGAGTCAGCTCTGATGATAAGCATAGCTTACCATTGTTACTTGTGATCTACCATGACGCAGCATGGACTTGAATGGGTACAAAGGTACATGTTGTGTAGTGAGGACAACATTGTCACATGGTTCAACCAACAGTAGGACTGATATGGATTCACTGACCACTAGCTAGTGCATCAGGGATTGATGTGAGCTGTGTTCCTATTTCATTTTCTATTGGTAGTAATGACATTTTTCATATTCCATATATTTTTACTGCCCTGGTTCCACTATATTAGATATTGTTACACCATGTCAATAAGCAAGAGAGTAAGTTTAGTTTTACACCTCACTCTGCAATATTCCAGCTATATGGCCGTAGTTTGTAAATAATCGAATCAGAACCAGACAATCCAGTGAGCAACAGCATGAGCATCGATCTACGCAATTGGGAACACCAGTCAATATGCCCCAAAACTTGTGATTACCATCTTTACTGTTTTTGATTCCAGTGAAAATGTAGTGAATATAACCATTATTATGCATACCTCATTGGGATTGTATTTTCTTTGGAATCAAACAAATTTGGAATTTAAATCTCTATCCCTAAAGTGTGACCATGTTTCATAGTTTGACTGCCCTCTGCTGGTTTTATATTCATAATATCAATCACCTGTCCCACACTTTATCATTAACCCACCACCATTAACGAAGCACAAGCACAGGAACAAGTTTTATGGATTGACAACTTCTTTAGTGCATTAGATGCCGTGTCATACCAAAAGACGTTAAAATATGGTACTTGTTGGTCCCTGTCTGGCACTCGGCATTAATGGGTACAACAAGGACTGGTCGGCTAGGAGTCAGTATAATGTGTCTGAGTGAGGTATTCATGCTTCACTGCGGCATGGTATCTCAGTGGGCTAACACTATAAAACCAGCTTAAGTGTGGGTTAGTACAAGCAGCCGCACATACACATACATGATACACACGCATGCACGTCGTCATATGAGCGAAATATTTTCAAGCACGACGTTAAACCCAATTTCACCTCACCTCATTAAATGCTAGGTATCAAGTGCATATATTGCAATAAAGAAGTTGACAATCCATAAAACAATCCTCTTCACCATGCCAGCTTCTAAATGCCACAAAGAAAAAAACATCCCATAACACTACTGCACTGTGCCCCAAGTCCTTTTTTGTATCTATACAGTCATCGTCTGTGCTGATTGAGCCTGGCCAACTTGTTTGGTAACCTAAACATTAACAATTTATGTGAATAATGATACTACTGTATTTTTGTAAAACTATGTCTGAATGACAGTGTAATATATGTCACGTTGAACATGAATAGTTGAGTTCTTGTAACTTATTGTTACACATATCAGCATCCTGTCAAATACCATTTCTATCACTGACACAAGAATGTCGCTATGTAAATACTATATACAGGTACACTAACTTGCACACACAATGAGATAAATATTAAACATCTGTTAATTGTTCAGTAATTGAAGCATAGATGCAACTACAATCAATGGAAATAATAAAAATAACCAATTCTAACACACCGTCACTTACTACATAATCAATTTTCTAGGACAGATTCGTGTAGATCTATACTGGCTGCCGAAGGGTTAACGCTGTGTAACAGTTATCACCAATACGCCAGTTTCATGCATGCACAGTTCCGGTCAATTACAATTTCAATTCTGATATTTTTTCCTACAACAATTAAAGGGCAGCAAAAGAAAATTCTTCACGGTAAGATACATAAGGGAATAATTAAAGATAAAGTTATGAACCCTCTAAATTCTTTTAACTTTGTCGGTGGAATGTCACACGATCTACTGGACAAAAATAGTTAGGGATATATGTAAATTTTGAAATTATGAATAATGACCTATTTATTCATTGACACACTGATAAAATATTAATCATCAAATACCAATATCCCTAACGTATTTTGTTCAAGTTCAAGTTCACAACAGTGATTATTGTTTCATTCCCTATCAGTCCACTGTAAAACACGAGAGGCCTACCTCTACGAGAGCATTATTAAAGATCGATGTCGTATGAAAACATTAATTCATCCAATAATATAGTCTCCCTGGTTGAGCTTAATCTCCACTCACAAACTTAAAGAATCTAGAAATGTATCCCACTGCGAACTTTGCAGCTAGATCTATCCCCAAGCAATATTAATAAACTTTATCATAGAAAGTTATATAACCTCTTCGGCTACACTTGCATTTTTTTACATAAACTGAAACAAGAACTTTTTCTAATAGTATTCGTGACACCAGATCCAAGACTAAAGTAAGCTCTATCTCACACGCTGACGTTACCGCGTGTTATCTTACCGTGAGAGCAAGGAGGAAATCAAACACGTACTTACTGATCTTACGTCCAAATACAATGAACCACCATGTTGAACATCACGTGAGTTAACACATGACCAATCACATGACCAAGCCTTGCGCGAACTCAAGTTCCTCTACAACGCTTGTCACATTCCTTACCCTTCATGCAGCATGGGCTATCGCAATGAGGAGCTTAGTGTGCCCTTTCAAGACGCATGATAATGACTCGGCAAAGAACACTGGACACCTGCACTTGGCGAATGAATGGACAAATTCCCTTCATCCACGAATTTCTCATTCTGTACAGGCAGGGATACTCTAGAAAATATAGTCTCCCTGCTACAGGTGATAAAGGCAATTGGCTTCTGAGAGAAGAAAACATGAAACTTGACTGTAATATCGATAAGATTAAGTGTATTTCACAAAATGTGATGTAATGGTATATTTAAGATCGCAGCAATTCTTGAAAGGCATTTAGAAGTTGGACAAACATGAATGCATGACACATTTTTAAGGATATCAACTTCTTTTTATTTTTATTCAGAGCTAATTCTTGCTTCTTCATCAGGTAAATGCTGAGTCGGTGCACAGAGTGAATATTTATAGATAAGTAGAAGATACTAAACGACCTTCCGTTTAGTATAATTTATATTAAAACGAGTTAATGATTTGGTATCAAACGAGCGAAATTTTATAAAACATGTTTACACAACGCAACGTAAATATATTGTTATATTTGTGCATTATCCCAACTTGCGTAGTGTAAGCATGTTTTATCTATATATATTCACCCACTCAGTGCACTGACTCAGCATTCACCTGATGAAGGAGCAAGAATTAGCTTTGAAACGTAGTAAAAAAATATGTTGATATCCATAAAAAACGTGTCATGGATTTATATATGGAAGGTATAACAATCTGAGTGCAGTATTTCATCCTGAATAAACTTATTTCTGTCAAGGAATAGATTTAAGGACAAACACTTCCAGCATTATTTTGTTGTAAAACCGAACGTCAGACAGGGAAACAACAAGCATCATTGTTTGTTTGTCTGTCTGTTTATATGCGTTTTTAACGTACCCCGCACTCAGCAATATGACGGCGATCTGTGATTAATCAAGCATGGACCAGACAATCCAGTGACTGCCATCATCAGCATCGATCTGCGCAACTGGAATACGATGACATGCATCAACCAGCCGATCCCGTCAGTCGCCACAACAGGCATTGGTTCCTGAACACCCAGTCCAACCCGATCTTCACGTGTCTAACGTTCCTTGACGTAACGAGGCCAGGATTCGAACCACCACCTTCCACACTGTTCCGCTTTCCTAATAGAGGTTGTCTCACTACTAGACATCTGAGATGGTCTTATTTACCAGCGCATACAGAGTGAGTGAGTATGGTTCTTTACGCCGCTTGAGCAATATTCCAACAATGTCACAGCGGGGGACACCAGAAAAGGGCTTCACATGCTGAATACTCATGTAGGATTAACCTGGGTCTTCGGCGAGACGAGCCAACGCTGTAACCACTAGGCTACTCCACCGCCCCAGCGCATACAGAGGTATGCATGATGCAATGATAATTCCTCATTGATTTTTCTATTTATCTGAAATTTGTCTGGTTTTAATAATAAAAGTTACTCTACAGCGTATTATTTATGAGGCTTTATTCGCTTAAATATAAACATTATGTTTGTAAATTAGATGAGCCCAAACCAGAAATGATGAATAGCTATGCCAGATGTTACAGAATTTAACATATATTTGTTTTGTTATACATTCATATCAGTTATGAAAACAGTAAAACAGGTATTATTTTGAGGGGCAAATTCAACTTTAACACAACCAGGGGCGGATACAGCTTTTTGAGAAAGAGGGGGGTGCACACTATTGGGAAAAGGGAGGGTGCACACTTCCTTTTCACCAGAGTTTCAATGGTCATTTAACAAACTTTCAGGACAAAGGTGCGCACCCTCTGGATCCGCCTATGACAACACACCGATAGTTGAAGCTAAGTTGTATTGAACTGACTTATTTAGGAGTACTGGTGTAGCCAGGTGTACGAATGTTTACAGGTGCCATGATTCGTGTCAATTTAGCTGTGATTGACATCTTTAAAACCGTTCCATGGAAGTAATGGTTGACACCTCACAGAAGTATTGAGTGACATCTCACGTAGGAGCGGATGCAGCCTTTTGACTGACTGACTGACTGAGTTTAGTTTTACGCCGCTTTTAGCAATATTCCAGCAATATCACGGCGGGGGACACCAGAAATAGGCTTAACACATTGTGCCCATGTGGGGAATCGAACCCGGGTCTTCGGCGTGACGAGCCAACGCTTTAACCACTAGGCTACCCCACCGCCCGCAGCTTTTTGAGAAAGGGTGGGTGGATGCACAGTTCATTTCAACCGTTTCCACGAGAGTTTCAATGGTCATTTGATACTTTCAGGACAAAAGGGGGATGCGAACCCCTGCGCAAGCGCGCGCGCACGCACGCACGCACGCACGCACACACACACAGACACACACACTATGGATCCGTCTATGTCAAGCAAATAATGATTATATTCTTGTGAAATAGCAACTCGTGACGGGACAGAACTAATCTCTGTTATATAGCACTTTTGAATGACGCCCGCTACCAGTGCGACATAGTACGAACTCACGTTGTACCTTTATACAAATACTGGGGCTAACTTTAAGTTGATACAGCTTGGATAATGCTCCCTCAATGGTTTCAGTTGTTGTATTAGACGTGTTCAGACATCCCTGTACTGATATGGCCGACTGCCTCTCGTGTCCTAGAGCTAACCCCTTGGAACATGTCTTGGGTATGATGTACGACGCTTACGACAGGACCAGAATCAGCCGGTGACGCAAGTTCAGATTGACCAATATTTGGTTCAAATTTGAAACGTCATCTGTCTTGCACTTCCTACTAACTCAATACAGACCATAGTAAAAAGTATTTAACTAGCCGTTTTATAGACCAAAATTACAGGCACAAGTACCTAATTTAATTTCTGCATTAAATATATTTATATATTCATGTGTGTTTTTTCGAGAGTTCTTTTTTCATAATAAACTTACCATGGCTTATGTCACTTGCAATATGACGTCACTGGACCTCTTAGACCTGTTTCAGATAACGTATATAATTGTGTGGTTCTAGCGTCTGAAGGATGTATACTGAACTGCAAATGAAACGCCACACCGATGGAGGTTCGTTAAGCACACACACGCTCTAATTAGCAATCAAAACGGAGGATTGAGTTCAAACTTAACAATTATGGTTAACATATTTTCGGGAATCACATTTAGAGTTCACACACAAAATAAATCACAAAAATGGTACCATTAGGATACCTCAAAGTCAGTATCGTGTGTGGCCTCCATAGACATCGATGACAGCGTTGCATCGTCTGTTCATGGAATGAATTGATGAAGGTCATAGGCACTTGGGTCCATACTCTGCGAAATGTCTATTGGACTTAAAATCTTAAATGCCATGTTGTCTTAGGAAGTCCAATGCTGCTCTGGCAGTGTGGGCACGAGTGTTGCCTTGCTGGAAGATGTGGTTTCTGTGACATCCAAAATGGGGTACAACGTAGGGTCTTATGACTTGGTCAATATAGCGAGCAGCTGTGACGTCGTTTCCTCAATCTGGGCCGAGATTCTTGAACTCTACGGGGACAACTCTCTGGTTCAGACCGATTGCACCCCACACCATGATGCTTGGACCACCCCACAGTTCTCTTTCAACATTATACTGATTGGAAAACCGTTCCCCACGCCTTCACCATACTCTCACTCTGCCAATGGGCTGTCGAAACACAATATCAGCTTTCATAAGAAAAAAGCACAGTTCTTCATTGTCGATAACTCCAATTTCGATGCTGAGTTGCCCATTGCAGTCGCAGTTGTTCATGCGGTGACGAGCGGTGAGTACACGACCACGATATGGTCTGTGACAGCTGGGGTTTCTTTCACGCAAACAATCTGGCGGTCTTGACGTTGGGTTGTTACTGAAGGTAAGCACCATCGTGGACGGTCTTGGATGCTGTTAGTGGCCTGATACCTCTCCTGCAGTTGGTAGATTGTCTTAATATAAACATTAAAATAATTGACTACCCTCCGTGGAGTCTGGCCAACTTGCAATCGTCCTAAGGCTTGGTTCCTCTGATCTCTCGTAAGTCGTAGCATGGCGACTGTGTCAAAACAAGAATGATTCAGATGAGTTTTGACTCGCTTTCATTGGTAGAGTTGTCACGATATGCACGTGGTGTTTCATTTTCATGAATGTCATACGGAATCTTTTACAACGTCTGCCTTTAGGTGAGCTTTTTCGGTCAACATGCTTTTTCATCAGAAAACACACTAATGTTGGTAATAACTGTCAATTTGGATTGAAAAACATGCTAACAAAACGATACAATCATAATAAAAAAACATCTTATTAGAACAAACTTTTGCATCTTGTTTTGAAATGTGGCGGTTTTTTTGCGGTTCAGTATATATGTAACCTACTGTTTCAAGCCATTGGACATATTCTTCCGTTTTGAGCAACCCTCACTTTGAAAGAAGGATGCCTTGGTTCTTGAGCAATCAACATTCTGAAATAGGTGAGGTGAGGTGAGGTGAGGTGAGGTGAGGTGAAATTGGGTTTAACGTCATGCTTGAGAATATTTCGCTCATATGATGACGTGCATGCGTGTGTATGTGTATGTCCGGCTGCTTGTACTAGCCCACACTTAAGCTGGTTTTATAGTGCTAGCCCACTGAGATACCATGCCGCAGTGAAGCATGAATACCCCACTCAGACACATTATACTGACTCCGAGCCAACCAGTCCTTGTTGTACCCATTAATGCCGAGCGCCAGGCAGGGACCAACAAGTACCAATTTTAACGTCTTTTGGTATGACGCGGTCGGGGATCGAATCCACGACCTTCCGCTCTCCGGGCCATTGTGAAATAATTCGCCTTAATGTCATTACAGCTCAGTTATGAAAAATGTATTTAAACTAAAGAAACATCATATCCCCGCTGTAGGGTGATGTGAACTTCTGTTAACTAGACTGGGTGTTCAGGTTCCAGACTTCGTATGAGTCAGGATATCATTTTGTACTTGGATTCATGGTCATGATCACTGGATTGTCTGGTCCAGATTCGATCATGAACAGAACACTGTCATGTAGCTGGATTATTGCTGGACAGATAAACAAAATCAACATGCACACACTCGCACGCAAACGCAAACACACTTCTGAAATGAATGAAAGCATGAAGATATTGCGAAGCTGGGAGCGTTCATCCCCAATAACAAAGCAACACATTTTTATCTAGACACACTGTTTATTGTTGTGTCAAGTTCATGAAAGGTTCAAATTTGTCAAATAATCTTACAGTCATGAGCAAGACACTTCTCATCTCCAAAAATTTACACACAACTTTTTATTTACATTCAGACAACCAGACAGGTACAACACTTGGAACCATTAACCACTGTGGGCTGACCTACCTGCACTTTTCATGGATTTAGAAGGCATGTCAAGTTTGTGATACAAAACCACCTATTATTCAATGTAACTCCACAGTCTTGGATACTTTTTGGAGAGGCAATATTCTTATTTCTTCTATCAACGTTTGAAGACTTAAAAGAGGAAAATAACTCTGTAACAAACCTATAGTCTGTTTGAAGTGAAAAGGTACCGATGAATTTCACTTAAAAAAAAAAAGCTAATCGAATAAAGTGAAATTAAGATTGTGAATCCTCATTATTTTACCTTGCCAATTGAACATTTAAATCTCAGAATTTTATTCAACTTAGGATAAAAGTTGTTTAACAAACAATCATAGATTCGATTCGCTATTATTGGTTTGTATTACAGGGGCGTAAGAGCAGTAGTTGGAACAGTGAAACAAATGCACGTGCCATCATGATGAGCGTTAACTTAAACCAAACCTACTTGTTCGGTGTTTCATGTAGGAGGGTAGATCATTTATTCGATGTACCTTTTTCGCTTAAAGTGAAATTCATCAGTACGTTTTCACTGCAAACAGATTATAGAAACTGGCGAACTGGCATTCAAACCTTTTTGTTGAGGTTTCTGGCATGTCTAAGGGACATAACTCTGCACAGCTAAATGGTTGGTTCGTTCCCATCATGTCCAGAAAACAAGCACATTTTGTGTGTAAACCTGTGGCAAAGTTATCAAATGGTCAGTACCCTAATGTTTTTCATTAACAAACTGCTTAATGGGTGTGTGCTAATATGAACCATTACTTGATTAGGTGATAAAACAATGTGCAGGGCTTGTGATGTCAGTGATTTGGTAGTGTTTCTACAGTTTTCTGTTATTTATTGATTGATTGAGTTTAGTTTTACACCACACTCAGCAATATTACAGCTATATGGCGGCGGCCTGTACATAATCTAGGTGAGGTGAGGTGAGGTGAAATTGGGTTTAACGTCATGCTTGAGAATATTTCGCTCATATGACGACGTGCATGCATGTGTATGTGTATGTGCGGTTGCTTGTACTAGCCCGGACTTAAGCTGGTTTTATAGTGCTAGCCCACTGAGATACCATGCCGCAGTGAAACATGAATACCCCACTCAGACACATTATACTGACTCCGAGCCGACCAGTCCTTGTTGTACCCATTAATACCGAGCGCCAGGCAGGGACCAACAAGTACCATATTTTAACATCTTTTGGTATGATGCGGTTTGGGATCGAACCCGCGACCTTCTGCTCTCCCGGGCAGACGCTCTAACCACTACACCACAGAGGCGGTTTGTACATAATCTAATCTGAACCAGAAAGTCCAGTAATCAACATCAATTGAGATACGATTACATGTGTCAACCAACTCAGTGAGCCTGACCACCTGATCCTGTTAGTCACTTCTTACCACAAGCATGGGTTACTGAAGATCAATTCTAACCAGGATCTTCACGGGTCTTCAGTTTTCTGGGTTAATGGTGATATAAGAAGTCCATTATTGTAGATGTGTTAGTTTCATATGTTTTTGTGGTCAGAAGTGGTTTGCACACCTAAACAATAAATTCTGGATTTATGGTCTCTTTACTTTTTACCTTTTTTCTCAATACATGCCAAAATATATTAAAGCCAGGTCTCAGTTATCTTTCTAACAGGACGATGCTGAGTGGTTTATGACTAATATTCTACTGTGTCTTCTTGGAATGGGGACTCTATAATTTCTGCTAAAAATACTGAAACATACATCATATGTGGCGTCTCCACCAAGCAGTGAATGGGTACCCAGTAGGATGAGATCTTCATGTGACAATAAATATTGCAACGCCTCATACTGCAGCTTGGGTTGTATACTCCATCAGGAACTGTGATAAAATATGAGTACAAAGTCATCCAAACATCAAGGCAATAATAATGTTAAGCCATGACCAATCACTTGGACTAACTATACAAAAAGTTTAATTTTAAATCTTATCGTCTGAGCATTTCAATTAACACAGTATGTTATGTTTACAGTTGCAGGTTTAGACATTCTTGGAGTCAAACCTTGGTCATTAGGCCACTTGTGACAGACATTGTCAAGATGGGATAAAATTTACCAGAATGAGGGGTATATTTGAATATTCAAATCTAAAGATGCTAATCCCTCTCAGATCACAATCAGCCACTTACATCACTGACAACTTGAACAGTCCTGACGCAAAGTAATGATCATCACATTCAACAAATATAAGAAAAAGTATTCTATAAACACATATGATTAAAAAAAAAAAGTATGAAAAATATTTTCTAAATTTATTATAAGTGCTAAATGTTTATGAAAAAAGGTATGAATTATGAGAAATATGACAGCAATATATACACTATAAAAACAGATAAGGAAAGATGACAAAAAACACAGTTATCTCCCCTTGTGCACACACTGTCTTATGTAAAACATAGGAAATACATATTGTCACATGACAACAATTGATTTTCTCCTAGTCTGAGCCTGTCATCAGTCGTGAGGGGACCATGGTTTGTGGAAGAAATTATGTGCCAACGGTGTACAGTGGGTTGAGTCAAAATCCTCCATGTACTTGGAAGCCTGAAACATTCCACATAATCATAAATAATCAGCAGAGAGGTTCATCGATAATACGTAGGACAGGATACAGAGAGAATACTACACAGGTTCTCGGTAGATATAAGTTTTATAAAGCAAGCAAACCTCCTGTTGTGTCTGACCAAGTGAAAGTGAGGTAAAAAAGGACAGGAAGTGCACGTGTTTCATAAAATTGGTATGTAATAAGAATGAGTGTCATATTTTATACATTAACCACCTTCTAAATGGTAACTGATTTCACAAAAAAGCCTGTGCACTACTTTGTGCATTTCAATGTAAGCGTATAATCATGATGTTCGTAAGTTTGAGTAGACAAAAGAATAGATGAGTGTAGAGTTGGGGAGGCAATTATAACGAGAGCATAAACAAAGTTGAGCTTAGAGAAAGCTTGAAATTTTAGATACCATATTCATTGATTGTCATATCTACCACTTCATCATTACATTCAAATGTCACTCGACAAACACCGCAAATAATTCATATTTTGCCTCTAGTTAATGTTACTGTACATCGCCTATTCAGCTGTACAGACCTTCAGGTCATTCGAGTTGATCAATTGTCTGTTGAATGGTTACCAAAGAGCATCACAAACACTTCCACGATTCAGATGCACATCTTTCTTCCATCCCCCATAAATACATACGACCAATCTGTAGGGTTGTATCCATGTGATGTCAGCTATCATATGCTGTCTATAAAATGAACCCACGTATAAGGCGAGCCCCTGTATATGATGAGAAAGCCACAATAACTCGGTGCGCCTAGTGGCTGCAAGAGTTGTATACTCCCCAGGGAGTTGAGATTGATAATGCGATGTGCCGTTGAGATAGACATCCAATGATTGAGGGAAAAAATACCATCGCCTTGAACAAGCGCTAGTGCTTGGATATGTGCGCTATATAAATATCCTATAATAATAATAATATAAACCTTCAAACTGCTAATTTATAAACATTGTCTATAAAGCAGATATCATCACATTTACTATCCCATAAAAACGTTTATGTCTTCCACTGTAATCAATAAACAGTCTGTTTCCAGCAAGAGGGAGTGAGTAACAAGACCATTTAACACAGATTCTGAACAGTGTTTCTTACAAAACAAAAAACATAATCAAATGTTGTGCATTCATAGCTTTTGGTCGTGGGAGCCGTACCAATTCACACTTATCAGAGGGGTACAAATAGTCCGTGGTCTAGACTACCAGTTGCCCGACTTCCATCTTTGTGGAAGCCACAGTGGCTAAGTGGGTTAGATGGCCAACTTTGTGTGCTGGCAATTAGGTGCCTGACTCTGAGGGTGTGGGTTCGAATCCCGGATGGGACTCAACCCAACAAAAGTACTAGAATCTGTACTTTACTGAGAAAGTGCAATCCCAAACATAACATACGTAACAATAACTTACCAAGAATATAACTAATTGATTTTTCTTCACTTGATCAAAATCTTCTCCTGAAATGATAAAAAATAAATCATTATAATCCTCAAAAGGACAAAAAGAGTGAGTGAGTGAGTTTAGGTTTACGCCGCACTCAGCAATATTCCAGCTATATGGCGGCGGTCTGTAAATAAACGAGTCTGGACCAGACAATCCAGTGACCATCAGTATCAGCATCAATCTACGCAATTGAGAACCGATGACATGTGTCAACCAAGTCAGCTAGCCTGACCACCCGATCCCGTTAGTCGCTTCTTACGACAAGCATGGGTTACTGAAGATTCATCAGTCTGGGACTTGCTCATGTTTAAATATTACAACACCTATAAACCTCTACAATCAGTAGATTTGACACAGTATACCCTATACTTCAGCATTTTAAAGTAAGTAAAAACCATACCGTTGTTGAATTAAACAATGTCAAGATCTCATTAATATGAACATATCTGATTTGGGTATTGTTCATTTCTCAAATCATCTGATGGGTTACACTGTGCCCTTATCCAACCTTGACTTTGTTTAACCTATGTTTACTCCTCAGTGTTCAATATTCAAGTAAGAGCCATGCAAATTAGATACTGAATCCTGCCTGTTTCTTGGTCACTTTGGTCAAGAAAATATCCTTAAAAAGAGTTGGAATACTTTGTTGCACAAGAAACGGCTGTTGTGTGTGGAACTGTCCTTAAGTTTTCCCTGAATGTGTTTAACCGTATCAGTTACTGGCAGTTATGAATGGTAAGGAGGTGAGGTGAAATTGGGTTTAACGTCGTGCTTGGGAATATTTCGCTCATATGACGACGTGAATGCGTGTGTATGTGTATGTGCGGCTGCTTGTACTAGCCCACACTTAAGCTGGTTTTATAGTACTAGCCCACTGAGATACCATGCCGCAGTGAAGCATGAATACCCCACTCAGACACATTATACTGACTCTCGCCGACCAGTCCTTGTTGTACCCATTAATGCGAACGCCAGGCAGGGACCAACAAGTACCATATTTTAACGTCTTTTGGTATGACGCGGTCGGGGATCGAACCCGCGACCTTCCGGCTCTCCGGGCGGACGCTCTAACCACTACACCACGGAGGCAGTCGAAATGGTAAGGAAAACATACTCACCTAAATGACAAGGAAATGAATGTGAGTTCTCCTCTGTGTAAGACCGTATTGTGGCTACACACCAGTCAGCATCAACATTGTACTCCGACCACATCACAGCTGAAGCAAAACATACACAGTCATATACATGCTCGACACAAGTCATATACATGCTGGACACAAGTTAGTGTTGGCGCTTGGTTGTGGGTGGATGTGTGGGTGCATGTGTGGTTCCATGTGTGGTTCCATGTGTGGTTCCATGTTTGATTCCATGTGTGGTTCCATGTTTGATTCCATGTTTGGTTCCATGTTTGATTCCATGTTTGATTCCATGTGTGGTTCCATGTTTGATTCCATGTGTGATTCCATGTGTGGTTCCATGTGTGATTCCATGTTTGATTCCATGTGTGGTTCCATGTTTGATTCCATGTGGTTCCATGTGGATTCCATGTGATTCCATGTTTGATTCCATGTGTGTTCCATGTTTGATTCCATGTGTGGTGGTTCCATGTGTTGTTCCATGTTTGGTTCCATGTTTGATTCCATGTTTGATTCCATGTGTGGTTCCATGTTTGATTCCATGTTCCCATGTGTGGTTCCATGTGTGGTTCCATGTTTGATTCCATGTTTCCATTCCATGTGTTGATTCCATGTGTGGTTCCATGTGTGGGTTCCATGTGTGGTTCCATGTTTGATTCCATGTGTGGTTCCATGTGTGGTTCCATGTGTGGTTCCATGTGTGATTCCATGTGTGATTCCATGTGTGGTTCCATGTTTGATTCCATGTGTGGTTCCATGTTTGATTCCATGTTTGATTCCATGTGTGGTTCCATGTTTGATTCCATGTTTGATTCCATGTGTGGTTCCATGTGTGATTCCATGTTTGATTCCATGTGTGGTTCCATGTTTGATTCCATGTGTGATTCCATGTTTGGTTCCATGTTTGTGTTCCATGTTTGATTCCATGTGTGGTTCCATGTTTGATTCCCATGTGTGGTTCCATGTGTGGTTCCATGTGTGGTTCCATGTTTGATTCCATGTTCGATTCCATGTGTGGTTCCATGTGTGGTTCCATGTGTGGGTGCATGTGTGGAGGTCCATGTTTGGTTCCATGTTTGATTCCATGTGTGGTTCCATGTGGTTCCATGTGTGGTTCCATGTGTGATTCCATGTGTGATTCCATGTTTGATTCCATGTTTGATTCCATGTGTGGTTCCATGTTTGATTCCATGTGTGATTCCATGTTTGATTCCATGTTTGATTCCATGTGTGGTTCCATGTTTGATTCCATGTTTGATTCCATGTGTGGTTCCATGTTTGATTCCATGTTTGATTCCATGTGTGATTCCATGTTTGGTTCCATGTTTGATTCCATGTGTGGTTCCATGTGTGTGGTTCCATGTTTGATTCCATGTTTGATTCCATGTTTGATTCCCATGTGTGTGATTCCATGTTTGGTTCCATGTTTGATTCCATGTTTGATTCCATGTGTGGTTCCATGTTTGATTCCATGTTTGATTCCATGTTTTGGTTCCATGTGTGGTTCCATGTTTGATTCCATGTTTGATTCCATGTGTGTTCCATGTGTGGTTCCATGTGTGATTCCATGTGTGGTGGATGCATGTGTGGGTGCATGTGTGATTCCATGTTTGATTCCATGTGTGGTTCCATGTTTGATTCCATGTGTGGTTCCATGTGTGATTCCATGTGTGGTTCCATGTTTGATTCCATGTGTGATTCCATGTTTGATTCCATGTGTGATTCCATGTTTGATTCCATGTTTGATTCCATGTGTGGTTCCATGTTTGGTTCCATGTTTGATTCCATGTGTGGTTCCATGTTTGATTCCATGTTTGATTCCATGTGTGGTTCCATGTTTGATTCCATGTGTGGTTCCATGTTTGGTTCCATGTTTGATTCCATGTTTGATTCCATGTGTGGTTCCATGTGTGGTTCCATGTGTGGTTCCATGTTTGATTCCATGTGTGGTTCCATGTGTGTGTTGCATGTTGATTCCATGTTTGATTCCATGTGTGGTTCCATGTTTGATTCCATGTGTGGTTCCATGTGTGATTCCATGTGTGATTCCATGTTTGATTCCATGTTTGATTCCATGTTCCATTCCATGTGGTTCCATGTGTGGTTCCATGTTTGATTCCATGTTTGATTCCATGTGTGATTCCATGTTTGATTCCATGTATGATTCCATGTGTGGTTCCATGTTTGGTTTCCATGTTTCCATGTGATTCCATGTGTGGTTCCATGTGTGGTTCCATGTGTGGGTGCATGTGTGGGTGCATGTGTGGTTCCATGTTTGATTCCATGTGTGGTTCCATGTTTGATTCCATGTTTGATTCCATGTTTGATTCCATGTGTGGTTCCATGTGTGGTTCCATGTTTGATTCCATGTGTGGTTCCATGTTTGATTCCATGTTTGATTCCATGTGTGGTTCCATGTTTGATTCCATGTTTGATTCCATGTGTGGTTCCATGTTTGATTCCATGTTTGATTCCATGTGTGATTCCATGTGTGGTTCCATGTGTGGTTCCATGTGTGGTTCCATGTGTTCCATGTGTGGTTCCATGTTTGATTCCATGTGTGATTCCATGTTTGATTCCATGTGTGGTTCCATGTGTGGTTCCATGTGTCGTGTGGTTCCATGTGTGATTCCATGTGTGATTCCATGTGTGATTCCATGTTTGATTCCATGTTTGATTCCATGTGTGGTTCCATGTTTGATTCCATGTGTGATTCCATGTTTGATTCCATGTTTGATTCCATGTATGGTTCCATGTGTGATTCCATGTGTGGTTCCATGTATGGTTCCATGTGTGGTTCCATGTGTGGTTCCATGTTTGATTCCATGTTTGATTCCATGTGTGGTTCCATGTGTTTTGTTGTTTAACATTATTTGTTTGTTGCTTAACGTTATATTGCACTCAGCAATATTCCAGCTATATGGCAGCAGTCTGTAAATAATCAAATCTGGACCAGACAATCCAGTGATCAAGGCATGAGCATCAATCTATGCAATTGGGATATAATGACGTGTGTCAACCAAGTCAGTGAGACTGATAACCCGATCCCATGAGTCGCCTCTTACGACAAGCATGGGTTGCTGAAAAACAATACTAATTGCGATCTTGTGTGGATCCATGTGTGTTCTGAGTGTAGGGGTGGGTATTGCAGAGAATATTCATATTGCGATATATTGCGATGCGAAAGCATGTATTGCGATATGCATTGCAATATATTGCATGAAGTATTTTTAAACAAAAAACTACTTATAATCGAGTTACTGCTTGATTTATAGAGCAAAAACACAACAAATTCACTATGCTTGATTAAGCTTTAATAACAAATTTTAATTATGATAAAATAAAAATGTGAATAATATTTGGCACAAATGAAACAAGGAAAGATTTCCGAGTGTTACGACGTTTTCCGAATGCATGTCAAAATACCGGTTTTCGATCAGTGTATTGCAATACATATCGTTTTCATGTTTGAACCGGTAAATACAGGTAAACCGGTTATATTACGCAGCCCTATCTGAGTGCAGTTCGATGTGTGACAGTGTTGACTTACCCTGCTCAGCTCTCTCTTTTGACAGCCACATGTCAAGCACAGCAGCTGTACTAGGATCAAGTATTTTGGGATATCTGGAAAATAGTTTCAAGGAGCAAGTTAGCACTTTGAGTGAGCAAATGGAGCTTAAAGACTGTAAGACTGTTAGTCTCTCCATGTGCTGTTGAGAGTCATGACAGTACTGTGTTGTTGTATAATCAATAATGTGTCAGTTATGCGGTTGGAAATATTTTCAGGTTCGAGGTCAGCAATCTCTGCTACTTTCACAGATCATCTCTCACAACTGACCAGGACAATGATCAACAATACCCAACAGCTGGAAGACATTTGGTTTGTTCTACAGCTACAGTCAGCAATATCCCAGCCTACCAGAGTGGCCTTTAAATAATCAGCAACCAAGGATTCAGTATTCAGTGCCACTGAGGTCTCCTACTCTCAAAAGCGCCTCTGTGGTGTAGTGGTTAGAAGCGTCTGCCGGAGGCGAGCGGAAGGTTGCGAGTTCAATCCCGACCGCGTCATACCAAAAGAGCGTTAAAATATGGTACTTGTTGGTCCCTGCCTGGCTTTCGGCATTAATGGGTACAACAAGGACTGGTCGGCTCGGACTCAGTATAATGTGTCTGAGTGGGGTATTCATGCTTCACTCGCGGCATGGTATCTCAGTGGGCTAGCACTATAAAACCAGCTTAAGTGTGGGCTAGTACAAGCAGCCCGCGTACACATACACATGCATGCATCGTCGTCATATGGCGAAATATTCTCAAGCCGCGACGATAAACCCAATTTCACCTCACCTCACCTACTCTCAACCTGGTCCATTTAACCACCATATTCTAACCTGGTCTCCCATAAAATACTTAACAGAGACTGCTGTCATGTACGTAAAGAATCCATCCTGGTGAATATTTCAATTTGCAAAAGGAAATAATATGTACCACACAGAAATGAACATGGACTCTAGCCTTCTGGTTGATGTCATCAGGACTGACAAATCTAGATTTACAAATAAAGAGTTATGCCCCTTTGTATCAATGTATACCTGTACTTATATATGAAAAAATGTCTCAACTGTTAATTACTGACTTACCTATACTGCAATAGTTTAGCAAGAAGCATGTTCCCACGGTTACTTCGAACTTGTGGAGGAAGACCAGGATTTACCCTGTAAGAAAACAACAAACTGCTTGTGACAAACTGCCATATGTAATCTTTCAATGCAGTTTTGAACCTTCAATTGTGTTGGGTTTGACACTGCTTTGAACAGTATTTTCACACGCAAAAGTACTTGCCAGAAAAACACAAGAAGACGTGCAACATGACACAAGTAGCAGACATTCACCAAAGTGGTTAAACCAATGGGTTCTGACAGACCATGGATACTTTATAGGTGGATTATGGGATTCAAACCAATTATCAGCGAAGATCCTAACACAACTAAGAAGGTAACTGTACATACAGTAGTAGCGACATGTTAATGTCAAATTAATATATATTCTTCCTATAATTCCATTTTAGTTCTCATTTTCTGGGTAATTTTGTAACAGAACCACTGGTAGGTCTCAATAGCCACATATATTCAGAATTTCCTGCTAGTTTCTGAGAGGATTTAATGTGATAATATAATTCTCTGCATATAATAAATACCTATTATTACAGAAATACAAATGAAACTGTAGATTATTACACATAAATGTAACAATAATTCTGGGGTTTACAACTGTAAATATGTGCAAACAAAACTTAACCGATGTGCAAACAAAACAGATTCTATACACAAACAAAACTGATTCGAATTCCGAATATTGCATTACTCTGTGGTGATTATTTCATCCTTAGATCTTCGTATCAACAGGACTTGTCCATGGTACCTGCAAACATAAACAAAACATCTCAGGGTTTCTCCAGAAACAACCAATATTCACATGAAATGTGAATGGGTTCATCTGACACTGTGAGTGTAATGATTATCAAAAAATGAGACAGAGAAATCATCTTGTGTTGGGCTAAAATCTGTGTGAACCAAACACTACAAGAATGACAGACTGGACTAAAACATGAGTAGCTTGAGTGAGTGAGTGAGTTTAGTTTTACGCCACACTCAACAATATTCCAGCTATATGGCAGCGATCTGTAAATAATTGAGTCTGGACCAGACAATCCAGTGATCAACAGCATGAGCATCAACCTGCGCAACTGGGAAACGATGACATGTGTCAACCAAGCCAGCGAGCCTGACCACCCGATCCCGTTTGCGCCTCTCACGACAACCATGGGTTACTGAAGATTCATTCTAACCCGGACCTTCACGGCTGAATAGCTGGAGAGCCAATGATGTTTCACTGAAACTTGCGTCACAACTTTGATTGTGTAGATGCATTCTGATTTTACTGAACTACCATAAATACAAGAATTGATAGTGGCCTGTCATCATGTCGGTTTATGTACCTTTAGTGCTCTGGAGACTAGGGGTCGAATTATTGAACTATCGACGTATCACAATTACCCAATGTCATTTCATCAACTTAATTAATGTATAAGCATTGATGCCCCACTGTAAGACACATAGATCATTGATAGCATTGATACGGCTATCATTAACTTTCTGGTTTTATAGGTTTTAACTAGTGGCTGCAAGAGTTGTATGCTCCCCAGGGAGTTGAGATTGATAATATGAAGTGCCGTTGAGATTGACATCCTTCAAGGGAATAACAAAGCACCTGTGACTGTGAGCAGCCTAGCTGGAACTCGGCGCTATATGAATAGATTATAATAATAATATACTAACAATAAAAATAACTGCTTGAAGAGAGAGGTGATCAGCCAGTCATGATAAATACAGAAAAGATGAGGACAGACAAAGTGGACAGTTGCATTACCTATCTTCCCACAAACAGCAGCAATATATGTTTTTTGTTTAATGCTGCACTTGGCAATACTTCAGCTATGAGAACAGGTTGTAAATATCAAATATGGACCACACAATCCTGTGATGGTCACCATGATCATCGATCCATAAAATGAATGTGATGATATGCACTCCACTAAGATCCTGAGACTGACTGGCAGATCTGTTAAGTTGGCTCTTACACAATCACAATACTGACAGTAGAAATGACTTCGGTGGGACCAGTCTACTTACTTGACAACCTGCTCCGCTATGTTCAGGTTCATGTAGTTCCGTAGAGCAAATGTTACAATGCTCTCTGAAAATAACATTATTCAGATTTATTACCCATATGCTTTAAACTTATCATGTGAAAACATGTGAAACACACATGAAATGATGGTTTCACGCTCTCTACAGAACTGTCATGTCACAGTGCTGGATTTAGCACTTAGAACATGCACTAGTGCGAATTGAAGCTGCAAAATGCAGCTGCAATATTTTGCTGTTCAAAGAATGCAGACTTCAGCTAAGAGAGCAGTCTGATGATGAGTGAGTGAGTGAGTTTAGTTTGAAGCCGCACTCAGCAATATTCCAGCTATATGGCGGCAGTCTGTACATAATCGAGTCTAGACCAGACAATCCAGTGATCAACAGCATGAGCATAAATCTACGCAATTTGGATGCAATGATATGTGTCAACCAAGTCAACCAGCCTGACCACCCGATCCCGTTGGTCGCCTCTTACAATAAGCATGGGTTACTGAAGACCAAATCTAACCCGGATTACTTAATGTTGCACCAGGTGCAATAAGGTTTCATTTCCTTCAATTGAAACCTTGTGTCATGCCATGTCGTCATTGCACCTTAACGACTCCGTTGATGCGAGTGAGTGAGTGAGTTTAGTTTTACACCGTCCTCAGCGATATTCCAGCTATATGGCAGTTCAGATGATATGATGCTGAAGTTGAAAGCTTGAGGACACAGTTGAGGTCTTCAACAACAGGTGGCTAATATAGAGGTTAATATAGACACGTGTTGTGCAAATTGAAACACTTCTTTAGCTTGCATCAAGTCTGCATTAAGGTAATGAGATCCCTTTTTTCACACACAAATTTAACTATTAACGAATGGCTACATTGTGCACAGCTCAAGGTTTCTTACTTAATACTTCTGGCATCTTAGAAACGGCAAGAGGGACGATGTCATCAAATGTAGCATCTAACACCTGAAATAGTAATGAAATATTTACTGTCTCTGAATCAAGTGAACTTTGGAAAACACATGTCATAAATATAGATAAGTTTGAATCGAGCCAATCAATAGTTATAACATACCTGTCAACCCTCACGCATTTGGCGTGAGTCTCACGCTTTATTGACAAATGTCATGCTCTCACGCCTCCAAATAATAATCTCAGGCATATCTGGTAGCCAAAAATAATTTCAAAATTAATACGCATTTTCGTTTGTTTTTGCGTAAAGTTGAATATTGAAAGAACGCCTGAATGAACGAAGTACTGAAACGATGTTTATACGAATGATTCGGCTTATTATTATTAATTAGCATGCATCTTTTAGTGTCAAAATAATGCAACCAGAAGGCTCCAAATGCTCCTGAAAATCACTAAACTTCATTTTCGGTGGCGGGGGGCGACATGACCCCGGCTGGACCCCGGCTTATTTTTTTCAGTCTCACTCCAGGGGTTGACAGCTCTGTTATAAGCACAGCCCAGTGATATGAAACTAAAAATATGAAACTAAAACTAATCACTCCTGTTTCACAAACTTAAGTAAAACCCTGGTCAGCACACCATTTACCCCAAAACTAGGCACTGCATTCTGAGAACCACTTGTCAACTCTTTCTCAAGTACTGGGGCCCTTTTGTGCCCGAGAATGTACAGTGGGTTGTCATGGTTGCATAAAAATACTGTCCATTTCAGAACAGCAGTCCACTATCATCACTATGTCAACAAATGGTGTATCCATAGCAATGTATCATGACAACACCTTTCAGGAGAAACCTACCATGTATTTAATGTCGGGATAGTTCATGGCGGCCCAACTAGCAGAGTACCCGCCGATGGACCAGGCAAATATGACGATGTTCTGTGGCTGAAATCCCAACTTGTGAATGGCATACTGCATTACGGCATCAATGGCGTTCTGCTCCTGGTCAGGGAATGGAACTCCCTGTGAACACAAGACACAAACAGATCATACAAAGTCTCAAGGTCGTACCATACAAGTCTCAAGGTTGTACCATACAAGTCTCAAGGTTGTACCAAAAAGTCTCAAGGTTGTACCATACAAGTCTCAAGGTTGTATCATGCAAGTCTCAAGGTTGTACCATACAAGTCTCAAGGTTGTACCATACAAGTCTCAAGGTTGTACCATAAAAATCTCAAGGTTGTATCATACAAGTCTCAAGGATGTACCATACAAGTCTCAAGGTCGTACCATACAAGTCTCAAGGTTGTACCATACAACAATACACTAACATTGATCATATTGCTGCCTTCTCCTATTTGACCAATTCTACTGCCTATTGTGACTGTAAATATAAAACCGTATGTTTCAATACAATGAGGAAAATATTTTATAACGCCAGTGACACAGGCTGGTGATTGACATTACTCTGAGCAGTGAATAACACAAGATAATGATTGCCACTACTTTGTCATAGACAGACTATTTAATATACTGGGGCCTCGGGGTGTTTGTTTGAAACACTCCCCCAACAGCTACAACACATTCAATTCATTTCCGGCAAGGTAGAACTAAAATAATGGTGAAAGCATGGGTACGGAGCTGACAAGGAGCAAACAAATGATTTTTCAAACACCGTTGAGACTATGTCAGCACTTACAGAGCTTCCACCAAATCCAGGGTGGTTCCAGCCCAGAATGGAGTAGTTGAGGTCCATGGGGGTCCCACAGCAGCCAATCTCGTAGAAGCCAGCATTGCCCTCGCAGCAGATTACCTGGGGAACATGTCAGTGTGTATGAGCAACCTGTCAGTGGGTTGTCGTCGTCAACCCTTACAACCACAGGCTTTCCTCATTAAGGTTTAAACTTGTAGCATATGCCAAAGGCTCCCCCTGAACAACAGCTCAAAAGGTATGAAACTTGAACAATCTTGTTTTCAGAAGAAAATTGAGCTAATGAAGGAATCAACTTTGGGGACCGTTCCACCAACCGATCTTATCTAAGATCAATCTTAGCAAAATACACCAATTTTACAATCGTCTTAGCTAAAAGTTACACCCGTTCCACTAACCGATCTTAGGCTGATCGTGGCCTGTTCCGATCTTACGATCCGATCTAAGCTTATATCGAGACGCTCTCGTGCGAGAGATAGAGATTTGCGAGGAAGTAGTTTTGGAACCAAGTGTAAACCTCGAGAAAAATATTAGGGTAGTGAGCACCTTGGTTTCAGGGGCAAGTGCTTGTGAACGCCTCTACCTCGCCACAATAACATCATCTGATAACGTATCTAGAATCTGTCAGTGGTCTTGAAAAACATGCAGCCTGCCTTAAAAGTTAGAATCCCCCCACCAAATAAGCACAGTGAAATCAAACATATTTTGTATCTTTTTGTTTCAGAACATTGTTCACTTCACCACCCGTCCCTATTATTAACCATGACGTTGCAATATTGTTGTACAAATGTATTACACCGACTCCCTACCCTGTGTTACCATGACGACAGTGGTCAGACTGGCCTCACATTTGTAAGGCTTCAGAGCAGTGTTTGTTTACATCACAGAATTAATCTGGGTCTTGTTTATCTAATGCTGCACTCAGCAATATTACAGCTATATTACAGCAATCTGTAAATAATCGAGTCTGGACTAGACAACAGCATGATCATCCATCTGCAATATGGGATACAATGACATGGGTCAACCAAGGCAGCGAGCCTGACCACCCAAGCCTGTTACAGCAAGTACGGGTGCTGAAAAACAAGTCTAACATGGATATTCACTTGTCATATTCACTTTCACTCTTAAGTGAATTTGCTGTTGTTGTTCACCAACATTTCCAGAGATGCTATGAAGCTGAAATAACATTGATGCAACATCACAACTCTCTCTCTCTCAACTTTTCCAGATAGTACATTTAAGAGCAAGTTGGAGACTGTAGTAATTAAAACAAGAAGACAAAGTCATCAATATCCCCCGCAATGGCAAAATACGCTTCATGATTATGTCTACGAGTTATGATTTTGTCAAATATTTAGGTGTGTATATAGAAAGGTGGAAGGAGAGTATTGAAAGGTTTTGAAAGTTCTGCTCCAGAAAGCAGCACTATCACCAAAGTAGTAGAGGGAATGATTGTACGGGACCAGGTCCAACAAAAGCCTCTGCAAAGCCTTATTCCCCAAATAAGGCTTTGGTCGGACCCTTAGCTCTTGCTACCATTACCCCTACTATAAAAAAGTTTGGGATGCTAGCGGGATGCGAACGCACCTCTTAGCCGCACCACTTAACCGACTGAGCCACTGAAGTGTGTTGGTTTAACGGGTCTATCCTGGGATTGTATCATCCAATACTGGGCTGCGTCTAACGTGCCGCTATGACACTATGCCATGTTTACCTCGATGAAACAGTTTAATGTGAATCGCCTATGATCTCTTTGGTGTTTGTAATAAAGGCTTGCTGGGCTTTTTTCACCCCTTGTTCTATGTATTTTTTTTTCTCATCCTCACTGATAGCAGACTTACGAGACTTGGATCGAATCTCTTGTTTCATTCTATGATATTTTGCGAGTTCAGAGAGGACTAAGCGAAACTCCTCCTCTGAGATCTTACTGTCAGTGAGTGCGGTGGAAATAAGATAAACTTATGGTGTTAAGCTTTGCTTCAGCTAGAACCCGATCTCATTATGCTTCAATGCTTTCACGATGCAGTCTGCGGGATACAAGCTTAAGCACCACCCCAACACCCTGTCACCCCAGCTGTTATTTCGAGCCCCATCACTATAGGTGCGTACCACGATGGTAGCTAACAACCCAACACCTGCCACCCCTAGGCCCATGCTGGCTACCATAAGGGTAGTATCAGCCCGTCCCACGGCATTGAAAGCTCTATGGTACTTCTTATATAGTGCTTTCCGGCTTGTCGCATGTCTTGTTCTAGTTAGCGTTTTACATCACATAACTGCCTCAAAGCGGAACCGTCACGGTTTCCAGGGTCTTAAGCTACTTCCTCTCGACTGGGTACAGCCCCATCCTGTGTGCCTATAATATATCTTATGAGATATTTTTTAATTGGGCTTCAGTTAACAGTCGATCAGCGTGCTTGAGGGCTTATAAGGTATAAATCCTCATGTAGGAAAATAGGTGAGAATTTAATAGGTAACTCTGCATCCACAACAGCCCCTCCTCGGGGTTTATTGATTGGGTTATAGAATCCATTGAGGGGTCCAGTTGTATGATGATCACGTAGCGTTTTCTATGGGTTCGGGGATACCAGAGTACTCTGACTCCAGGTAAAAGTTGTTGTAATTCCTTATTACTATTAACTCTGTCGATATAGGCGTCTATGATAAGTGTGGAGCCTGGTACCATAGATGGAATCCCTATGTGCCCGTAGCAGTCATACCTTAACTTCGCCCTTGGAATGCCTGTAACATATTGGGTAAAACCGACCTTAGTATCATCCTTGTATTAGGGCCGGAGCGAAACAGCGGGTAAGATACGCTGTTTTAATTTCAGAGATATAACTTTGTTCCTTTAATGTGATATAAGGTGAGGTGAGGGTTAAGTTGACTATCCATTCAGGCTCTTTAAAATCTGATAACGACACCCGCCTATACACGTTGTCTTTCAAGTGCAGGATGTATAAGGTGTCTTCCTCACCAGGCTGGTCGAATCCCTCCGTGTCCCCTAGATCGTTAAGTGTAGTGTTGGGCCGAAGCCAAGACATTGTTATAATACTATTACGATATAATTTCCAACTGGTTTTCTGATAATAGTTCAGGGGTGAAGTGCACCCCCATGAAGTGTATGTTGTCGGTTAGGAATATCTTGGTTAGTGATATCGTGTCTTCCACGATCACGGTGAAACCCTGCAGACTGGTTTTGGAGTCGACACCCTAGCGCGCGTAAGCGTTACCAAGCGTGATACTGTTGTTGTTTCCCCACGGAGTTTGACCCCTTTTACGATTTCGACATCATTCCTAATGGTTCCCCTAGGTAGACTTGGATGACCAGTGTTGAGTTAAGCGGTGAGACTCTCAGGATCTTGACCACGCCCAATTCAGACACCAACTGCAATACCACGTTTTGCATCCGGGTTTACCGATAGCATAATGGGCTGCCATACTGGCGAGTGGGCTGATGACTTCGCTACATCTCTGGAGTCGGGCGTAAAGCCCGCGAGCAGGGTTCCGTTGTTCCGCGACTTTGTTTAGGTGGTTGTCTTTATTATCCGTGAACCGTGGGGGAGCCGAGCTTAATATTGAGAAACCAGTCGGCTTTATCGGGTATAACAACACCCACTTATCATCATCGGTGAAGGCGGAGTGTATATGGCTTATTTTTGGTGATAGCCGTCCGCGTTGCTCTCAACATCGGTTAAGTCGAACAGTTTGCCTCCGAGCGATGGGTATATTATCAATTATCACCGGTGTTGACAAGGGTGTACTTAGTGTTGACTGCGCTCTTGTGGTATCTACTATATCACTTAGGTTGCTAGTACCACGGAGGACTTCAACTTCGTTTGTAAATGCTGTTTTTCAGTTGCAAGGCATACAATTTACCATCTACTCGGAGTCGTCGAATCAGCGTGTGTCCCGAGGTCGGAGATCCCACATTGATGCATTTTTCAACTTCATTCCGGGGCCTTGTCGCTGGTCATTTTATGTGCAGCGTTATGCTAAGGTATCCTATATTCACGGGATTATGATTTATATCTAACACCGATATTATCAGCTCAGGGATGTTGCCCTTGGTTAACCTCTTATACTGCGAGGTGAAAGCGATTCAGTTCTACGTCGTTGTATTTCTCCGTTTTCACGATGCGGCTCTCTGTATAGTGGAAGGGTGACCCCTTGAATGTTGTCAGTTATTGCTAACCTGGCTGAGATGAATGCACAGCTCGATCACGGTACTAGGTCGGGTAACTTAGTGCCTGTGGTGGTAGTCGTTGGTTTTATCTCATCAGGCTGCGTACCGAGTGTCCTCGCCAATGAATGGGCCAAGTCTCAAGGGAGTTTCTTCCGTTGTTGGTTAACACCACTGTGCCGTTTGAGTCGTTCATCTTGAGTTAGGCTCCTAGGGGTTTTGAAGACCTGCATTTAGAGAACCTGCGCTGTAGTAGCGGCACTTATCTGGTTGCGAGCACCACCTACGAACAGTTTATTGTTGCTAAGCGTTGATGTTAGTCCATCGCGGTAGGTAGGTTATATCGCACAGTGCTACTTCGAGTTGCCCGGCGTATTATCGATCGGCGTCGTCAGCTGAACGGCCTCACCGCTTGTTATTCCTGGAAGTGTTATGTACATGTTAGAGTATATAAACTCATTATATAATAGTTTTAAAATGTACTCCCCTGGAGTGTTTTACCCTAAACTGGGCGTAGATTTCCCCACATGAAGATTGTGGTCGCTGCGGGTTGTATTTGGCCAGTTCATAGATGTGTTTGATAAGTATAAGTTTTGGTGACTAGCGCTAAGGTAGTTCAGCGGCAGTTCAACAAACCGATGCAGTTCTGGCAGAATCAACTCAACTTAGCGTGTGATGCTACAACAGGGTGTGGTGTGACATTGACCGACACTTTCGGCGTGGACGCTGAGTCAGTCTGTGTTCACGCGTTTCCGTGTACTACCAGGTCAGGCGTATCCTCAAAGAGATCAGCCCCGCTCCCACAGGAAAAGCGTGGAATGCAGTAAACAACCAATACGATAGGCGGGCCTCTGAGCGTGTTTGCAGCAATCGAACTAAACGAAGGCGGATTGGCGTTTGCGGGACCAAACCACGG